GCCCCCCGGGATGCCGGAGGGAAAGGTAGGCCCGGTGCCCGCCCCAGAGGCTGAGGCAGGGCCGAAATTTTGGGGGCTGGGAAGGAGACAAAGCTGGGACTGCTCGGATGAATGAAGAATGTCTTTGCAGCTCTGATCTTTTCACACTGCAGGGACCTGTAACAAGCATCCCCGCTGGTGTCAGCTGAATGCTGCTGGAGGGAGGGAATCTCCCCTCTGTGCTTGTGCAGGGGGTCTTCTGATTTTCCTTGATTAACAGCACTCTGGGAGTATCTCGAGGCACAGCAAGCTTTAACCAAACGCTTTCAACACTCCTCATATTTAGAAGGAAAAATGAAGAGCTCCTATTGTTGGCACTTCTTGAATTGCTTTGCCTATTGTTAGCTTGGTTGTGCCTTCCTGGTGCCAGCCAAGAACAACTTTCCTCATAACTTCCGTTTTATAAATACGGGATGGCTGAAAGGAGTGCAGTGATGGGCTAAAAATAGCTGGGTGTATTCAGGTCAGGCACATCTCCAGGCTGGCAGCAGAAACAGTTGTATTTTTAAACTCCCCTGCTGATTGCACACAGAGCATGCAGGTTTAGCGATGAAGGTAAAATTGGGGTGGTCTGGAATGCATGAGCATGGGCATGGCTGGTTTTTCACATCATCTTCTTTTCTCTGAGGACTGTGTTGTATTTTTGCTTTAGAGCTGAGCATGAGGTTTGGTGGTGATGTGTTGCGCTCAGCATAAAACCACCCATGACAACTTCCTTTGCTGTTAGCTTTGATTATTTTATTTCTGCTGTGCAGAGAAGTGTTTGCTGTGGTTGAGGACCCCTCTGTGTGAGCAGAAGGCAGAACTTCCTTGGCTGAAGGGAGTTCATAGTTTCAAGTCAAGAGGGAGGGACCTGCCTGCGTGCAGGAGCAACAGGAGACAGTGGGACCCTCTGGATCACCTTGATGGTCGGAAGCCAGTTGTTCCCAGCTGCTTGGCAAAGGAGATCTTGGAGGAGAGATTTGAAGTATAACAGTCTGCTAATATCTCTCAAAAAAAAAAAAAAATCTGCCCTCCCAGCACACAAATACATGTCAAGGAGGCAGTGGAGCCTGTTATCATTGCTTGAACAGAGAGGGAACCTTTATATCATTGGAGGTGATGCAGAGGCAAGTGGAGGGAGACCAGAACAGGCTTTGAAAGTGAAGAGATTTTGCTGCAGTGGCAAAGTGGAGGGATGTGAGAAGTGATGTGGCTTAGAAAAATTATCCCTGTGGCAGCACACAGGGTGGATAAATGAGTAAAATATTACATTTCAAGAGAAATGGGTGTTTGGAAATTAGTGTTTTCCTCATTCCTGGAAGTGTTTTCTCCATTTCTGGAAGTGTTCAAGGCCAGGCTGGATAGGGCTTAGAACAACCTGGTTTAGTGGAAGGTGTCCCTGGCCATGGCCAAGTGGTTGGAACAAGATGATTTTTAAGGTCCCTTCCAACCCAAACCCTTGATTCAATGAAAACCAGAGGATGATGGTGATGGATGGCAGTTTTATTTGTGTTAGCAGACAAGAAATACTGTGTCACACAGAGACACCCAGCAGGAGAAGTTGGTGAGGTATTGTGAAGATCTAACACTTAAAGCCTGAGAGGGAGATGCAGGTCACAGAGCTGAGTGGAACAGGGTCTGGTTGTGCCAGGCTGGGGAGAAGGGCTGCAGGGCAGGCTTGGGGTCATGGTGCTGCCTCTGGGCTGGCCATCATCCACAGCCCAGACATCAGAGGAGAGGCTGAGAGTTCAGCCTGTGCAGAAGATGGTCTGCAGTGATAGGGCACATCTGTGAGTACCTCCCAGGAAGCTTTAGGGTTAGAAACTGAAGAGTTGTGAGCTGCTGAAAGATAAGATTCATAGTAACACCGTGGAGGAAGAAAGAAAAGCTTGTGGTGCTCACAGGGTATTTAATGGAGTTTTGAGAGGGTAAGGAATCACAGCCAGGAGGGGACAAGACTTTGAAGCTAGAAAGCTGCTCTTGTAATCTTTGACAAAAGGAACTCAGGTAAGTGCAGAGGGCAGAAACCAACAGTTCTTTATTTCACCACACAGGCTCCCTAAGTGAAGGGCAATTCTTACACAGCTGTCAGAGCTGTGGGACAGGTCAGGAGCTCTTCATTCTGTGCCTCGTATTGCTTGGGTCACTTTGCAAAATCCCTTCAGTGGGCAGGTGCAGACTTGTAGGGTGCTTCATCTCCTGGACTTTATTTTCCCCACCTTTAAGTTACCCTATAGCCCTCTGTCCTCTTCAGCTCTTTGTCTGACCATTTGATTTTGCATAAATAGACATAATTCCTCATCAGGAATCACCTGGCTGGGGTGAGACACTCCTTTCTCTGTTTTTTCAGGGAGTCTGTGTGAGTTGTAGTTCTCTTGGTCTCCTGATCCTGAGGAGGCAGCTGCTGGTGGCTCAGGGATTCAGGTGATTTCTGCTGTCTCGCAGACATTCTGCTCTTGGGAGCATTCCCTGCCCAGAGCAGCCCTTGGGAGCATTCCCTGCCCAGGGCAGCCCTTGGGAGCATTCCCTGCCCAGGGCAGCTCCTGGGAGCATTCCCTGCCAGGGCAGCGAGGCAGACTCAGGGTGCTGCTGCAGGACCCAGCCAGTGTGGGGTCACCTGGTCACTCTGGCTGGGACACCTTACAGCCAGCGTGCCCTTGGGACTGCACCCCAGGGGGAGGATTTCAGAAGATCTTCTTTTGCTTTCTGGGGCTTTTCTGTCCAGGTTTCTCGGCAATAACTGAAGGGTTAATGACCACACTGTTAGTCATCAGCGCCTTATCAGCAGCAGTTTGGGCTGCAAGTGTGTGGTTGTTCCACTGTCTTCCCTCGGCCCAGGAAAGAAGCTCACCTCTTTACCCTGGCGTGTGGCCAGGCTCAGGAAAGTGAGGAAACTTGAGTCATGCTGTACTGTTAATAAAAATGTTGCAAAAATTTCCAGTTTCCCCTGCTCAATACTGCAACAAATACACAAGTGTGTGAGAAACTGTTTGCACCTAAACCACAGTGATTTTGAGATGGGATTGGCCAGAGTGCTCTGCAGTTAAGCATGTTTGTCTCTGGGAGTGGGACTGTAAAGCAAGTTTTTGTCTGTAATATACTGATGTTTGCACACAGGGATTCTGTATGCAAAATATGTTGCTGTGAAGTTACTTTGCAGAAGGTTATATCAAAATACAAATGTTACTTACTATTATTATGCAAATCATCTAGTGATTAACCAAACCTCAAGGTTAGGAACCATCTGTAAAGCAGTTTTTCCCAAAGTAGATGCTGTGGGACATGAAATGGTCTGACCTGTGCTAAGACCATATGGTTCACAGTCTTGTCTGCTATATCTATGTGCTTGAAACTGGAATGTGGCCCTATGAAAGAAACAGAAAAATGCTGTGGCTGCCTGGCTGTGGCAGCATGCTCAGGCAGAGCAGCACAGCTTTCCAGTGCCCACTGCATTTGGAGAAGGGGCCATGGGAGAGCACTGCTCCTGGTTCTGACCTCTGTGCATCTCCAGCCTGTCCTCATGGGAAGGACTTTTTTAAGAACACATCCTTCTTCCAGTTGACTTTTTTTGTCTTTTTAAGGAAAGAAAATGGTGATAATCTTTGCTGTCACCACTTTCCCAACAGCAAGTTCATGGGGTCCCTCAGAGCACTGGGTTTTTACATTAGCAGTTGCATTTTCAATGACAGCTCTGGCTAGAAACATGTGTGTCTACATGTCATCAGACATATATATGTGTTTAAAATTTTTTTTGAGCTCATCCTACTAATTCAGATGAATAACCATTGAGTTGATTCATAGATTTCTGTGGAGATGCTGGTAAAGTCTTCTATAAAGACTGAGTCAAAGGGTCTGGGTGTGGCAAATTAAACCAAGGATCTCTTGTGCCTTAAACAGATATTCATGGCCAAACCAACAGAGTGGTCAAATCAGCTGAAGTCCTGAATAGTGTGTCCCTATAGGACAGAGAAAGAGATGTGAATTTGGAAGCCCCAAAGACCTAGTTCTGCAAAATTTTTAATGGCCAATTATTTGTTAGGAAAAGTGATGACTCACTTTGGCTTCAGTACACTAAAAGATAAAAAAATTAAAGCCTGTTAGTTGTCTTGGTTTCTGTCCCTTACTGTTATTTTTTTTAGTAACTTTTGTTTCTTTATTTCATTTTTCTGTCTCTGCCTACATTCTGTTTCCTAAATGCTGTTCTGTCTGCCTTTTCACGTGAGTTCATCCCCTTGAGTTTGTTTGAAACTTGGTCAGGGTTTCAGCACTGTGCTTGCTGCTGGAGGAGGTCAGGGCTGCTCACGAGCAGTAACACTGCCCTGCTGCTCTCTACTCATCTGCGGAGTCAAACTGTTTAAAATTAAGATCCTGCTCCCACTCAACTTCTCCATTTGGGGTTTTCCCCAAGCTTCCCAGAAGCAGATGGTGCTTCCTGGAGCTGTGCTTGCAGAGCACTACAATTTCTGCAGTGCTGCCTCCTCCTGAGGAATCCAGCTGGATGTGCCCTTCCCTCAGAGCTGGCAGGCTCAAGGGAAGCCTGTGTACAAGCTGTTGTGCAGTTCTGGTGTCAGGTGCTGATGGCAGGGATGAAAGGACACCTTCTGGGTTAAAAAGCTTGACTGTAGAAGGGAGCTTAGGCTGTGCTGAGAAATGCAACTCAAATCAATTTAATTGATCCCATAAAGAAGCAGCATGCCTGCAAATTGGTGCCTTTCCCTTGGCCACTGACTTCATGATGCTTTATCTGTTCCAGAGCTTCATGGAAGGTTCAGGAAAACGTGCTGTAGGCTGAGATACCTCCTGGAGGGAAGATGGAAACTGAAATAGGTTAGAAATGCTTTGGGAAAAGGCAAAAGAGGCTATATGTTGCATTAAGTACAAATGAGAATAGACCCTTTCTTTGGAAAATTAGTATTTTAAATAACAGAAGACTTACAACTTAATGCTTTCACAGAAAATATAATAGGTTACTTTAGGGAAGAAAGAAAGAAAAAAAAATGAAAACAAGAGACTAGAAAGCAAAGGAAGAGGGCAGAGGAGGATAAGGAAAGAGTGGGGGTAGAGATGGAGCCTAAGGCACTGCCTCGAGGGCAGCACATTTTGGACTGGGGAGGAAGGCTGATGCAGAAAGAGGGAGATGGAGGCTGCCAACAATCCTGAGTGTACAATTAAGCTGAGAATACAAAACCATTAGGGTTTATGGCCACTTAAGTTCTTACAAAACCAAGTAAAATGTTTATTTTCTTAAAATGGATTTTATTTCAGTTTGGGAGTTCTGTTTGAGTGTCTCATGCCTGTGCAGCCTGTGGCATGAGCTGATGTGACCGAGCCAGTGCTGCTTCCTCTGTGAGCTGCCACTTCACTTCCTGCAATGGGTGGGTTCACACGGCTTTGCCAAGGCTACTGCAAAGGGCTCCACAGGATTGGACCTGGGTGTTTCTCATGTCCTTGTGTGCTTCCTGCTGCCCTTGTGCTTTTTCTTTGATCACACCACTCACCAGTTTTGTGGAAGGTGAATCTACTCTCCATCTTGGATTCCGACAGTGACAAACGTCCTTGGTAACCTAGTGTTGCTCCAGATGGTGAATTTGCAGTCCCTGCATCATTGCAGTAAGGCAAAATGCTTTGCAGTGCCTTGCCTTGTATCCTAACACTTCTAAAACATTTTCATGCATGATCTTTTCAAAGCTACTCTGGGGGATTTCCACTCCCTTGCTGTTTTAAAATGCTTGTACTGCTATGCTAACCACAAAGCTCACGCTGGTAGACTCTGTCTCTCTGTCTCTGTCTCTCTCTCATTTTCTCCCCATTGAGCACCAGCTACAGCTTCCAGGTATGGCTTTACCAAAATGTGTCTTGTTAATGCTGGCAGCAGCTTAACTTGCCAGAATTATTTCTCATTTCTGAAGGGCTATCCAGGGGCTTGGTACACAGGGCTTGGGGGAAGGCTGCAGACCCAGAAACATCTCAGGCAACAAGTTCACCTCCTGAACCGGCAAAGTGGTGTCGTGATCTTGTAAGGGTGAGAGGCAGAGCCTTCTTACTGAGATTTCTGTGGTGCTTGGGAAGGTGATAAAGCATTCAGGAATTGCCACAGAAGTGATGGCAACAGGTTTATTTTCCAGCTGTTATTTAGATGAGGTTATTTTAAGGCATAACAATATTCTGTTGATTAGAAATAGATTTCTTGATAATGCAAAATTAATTAATTAATTCTTTTTTGAACATCCAGGGAAAACAGGAGATGTAAGAAATAAGTAAACTGGCTATAAAATAGCTGCTTTAGCACCAGACACACTTCATTAATTTTAAGAGTTTATTTTTAATTTTTTTTTTTAATGCAGTGTTGTAACCTGTGTCTTGAAACCCTGATGCAGTCTAGTCTTATGGGAATTCATTGTAATGCTTGACTGTACCTCTGTGCAAAGGAAACCCTACTGTCTTACTCTGCTCAGTGAAAATTTGCCTATGGACATGAGCAAACTGATGCTTGCTTAGTAAGGTTTTACTGTGCCTTGAGGATGAGGTAATATTACAGTTGGAACTTCAATAGCAGAGTGGTGTCTGTATACAAAAGAAAATGTTTATTTTGCTGTCCTCAGCAGCAACATCCCCCAAGGGTGCTCAGGCACATATCCAATAGGAAATTGTTACTGTTAGAAGTACTCTGTCCTGGGTACCAGCTGGTCACTGCCCTGCAGCTTGTAAGTGACTGGGACAAGAGCAGAGCAGTTCCTGAGGTTCCCTCGCTGCCAGGTGAAGGGGGAGTGAGCCCTGAGTGCTGGCACTGGGTGTGTGTTGGTGAACAAGGGATCCTTCTCTCCTCAGCCTCTGTGCTGCAGGGACACACAGGGTGCAGCCAGGGTGCCTCTCCCACATGGGCACTCTGCCAGCGTGTTCTGTTGGCAGCAGTCAAAATGTTCTAACTCTCCATGGGCTGCAAGGGACAAGGATGATCCCCCAGTGATGTCAGATGTCATCATCTCCTGTTTCCACATGGCTCCCTATAGCTTGCTGTATCTTAAATATGTATCTCAGACTGTACAGATACTTCTAGTCATTCTTTAGGAAACTGTTAGCACTTCCACTCTGTGTGTTGAGTTGGGGCATATATTTTTTGTCTCCAAAATAGTGGCGTTTTGGAGGACTTTAGAGTAGTAAATCATACAACTTTGTTATTTTAATTCAAAAGTACTGGAAGCAGCTAATCTGTTCATAAATTTGATAGCTTATAAGGCAGCTTAGAGAGGGCTGTTTTAATGCAACATGCATTCCCCTCCATTCTGTTTCTGCCTGTTACCTCCCAATGAAGTGGCTTGATCTTAGACCTCCAAATTTGACAAAACTTTTCCCAGTGTGCCTAAGACAGTTCTGATCTACCATAAAAGGTAGATAATTGTAGAGGGAGGGACAGGGCATCTTCTCAGCCTTGTCCCTCCCAAGTGTCTTAGTGTAAAGCAACAGAGGTGGACTAGAGCTACAGAAAGGTAGGTGCATAACCTTTTTTCTGTGCCCTGTTGTATGTATGACATGGAAGCTGGCAAGTGAGGAAGGTGCTTTTTACTGGGAATACCCCAGTCCTGGAGCTTGGCTGAGCCTCACCCTCCCCTCGTGCAGTGAGCCTGGCAGGAGCTGGGCTCTCAGCCCCATTTGCTGGGCAGCAGGACCAGGGATCTTGTCTTCTTGTCCATGAAGAAGACAAGATGATGTGGTGATCAGATCTGTGATAAGAACCTGGAAATTTTCCCTTCTCAGTCTGAGACATGGTGGCACTCAGTGCCTGTGCCTGGTTCTGCTGTCCTGGAAGTTTTGGCTGTAATGGTGCACTCACAGCTCATGGGGTAATGATTGTTTCTTATTGGAGAAAACAGGAAAAACCTATTCTCTTTTAAAAAAGCAACCACGTTGTAAGGAATGGTTTTTCCTGTGTGCAGAAAGTTTGTTTTTGTGGCTAGAAGAAGTTAATCTGTCCACAGTGGTTCAGTGTGATCAAGGTTGCACACAGCCTCTGTCATTCTGACTGCTGGTGGTGGAGAGAGAGAGCAGCCGTGCTGGAGGGAGCTGTTTGAACATGGCTTTAAAATGTTGATGCAATTTTATATTCTAGTAAGTCATGCCCATGCTGATTCTTCTCCTTATTATTATGTTCTGCTCAGTTTCTGAACAAGAAGCAATTTTAAGTGTGGAGCATTTTACTGGAAAATGTTTGGGCTCCGTTTGGTGTGGTGGTATTAAAACAGGATAGCTCCCAATTTATAAAGTTTGTTTTTGTTATGAAAATTCTCCCACTTGGATTATTTCCAGTGAGGTTAAGGCATCTGCATGGAAAGAGTTGTTCCAGAAGTATTTTGCTTGTGCAGCTCATGGTGCAGGCAGGGCTGGGATGCTGAGGTGGTGGGAAGGTGCAGCTGTGAGCTCTTTGTACTGCACTACATTTGAGCTCCCACTCATTGGTTGCTGTTTATAGGACTTGGGCTTAGTTCCTAGTGATTCATACCACTTTTTTATGTGTGGGTAGAATTAATTCTATTTATTTCAGTATAGGGAAATCCTTTTTTTTTAATGTGTCTTTTAATGTGTCGATTTTCAGTCTCCATAAGTTGGGGGGTTTTGTGTGTGTGCTGTTGCAGTGCAGTTGCAGTGAAAATCCCTTTCCAGCATGCACTGTGTCTGCCACCAGAGCATCATTATGCAGCACGAGCCTGCCGCTCTCTGCTATTTTAAACCAGCATTACAGTTCACACGTGTGCTGAAAAACTGCAGCATACACAAAGGCAGGACAGCTTCCCCTTGCTGGAAGCTGTGAGCAGACAGAAGTGAAAGCTCCCTCAGCCCCTACCTACGCTGGCCAGGCATCAGCGTAAGCAGGAAATTGATTCAGATAACCCTGGGCTGCTCTCACTGTCACCTACAGCACTTTTTCCCCTGATGGTTTCCCTTTGGTTTCAGTTCCGAGAGCCCTGCGCTGGGAGCCAGGAGTGGGAGCAGAGCTGCTGCAAGTGCCCTGAGTCACTGGTGAGTGCTGCCATGGGAATTACACTGCCTGGGCTCCTTTGGATCACATCCACCAAGTGCTGGCTGGCAGGGGCTGCTGCTTCTCAGCTCCTCTGAGCCTGCCCAGCTGATTCACACGGGCTCCTCTCCAGCTTGGGCAAAGCGCTGCCATCCACAGGCCCCTCCTGGAGCAGCCCATTTCTTCCAGCAGAACAGCTGCAAGCCCTGCAGCAAAGCTCCTGCGAGGCTGGCAGCAGCAGTGAGCTCCCTCATCTTCTGAGGTTTCCGCTCTGTCCTCTGAGCAGGCAGCCTCCCCTTTCACCTGGGGTGCTCTTTCCTGTGTCCTGAGGTGCCCTCAGCTGGGCAGTGCTAGCCTGGGCCAGGCTGAGGTGGAGGAGGTGCTTCCATGGAGATGCCAAGAGTATCCATTTTTAGGAGTGGGATCTGGGTTGGGTGCATTAGGCAGGTGTTTAAAGAGATACAGGCTCTCATTTCAGCAGGAGAGTTGGAAGGTGGTGTACCACAGGAGAGTGCTCCTTCCAGAAAGAAATGGGAGTGATTTTGGTCTATTTAATGAGCAGTGAGAGCTGTGGAGGAGTTTCTTTATGGAATTTTGGGCTGCTGAGTGTTTCTTTTTAATGTGTCTCATAACTTTTTTGCCTAAAATACGTCACCCCTGCTGGAGTTTGTGGAGTTAAGGAAGATCCCTAAAGGCAACATAGAATTGTTGTTGTTGTTGTAGATTTTATTTTAGTGTGTTTTTACACAGTGATGCATTAGCTTGCTAAACCATACCATCAGATGAGGTAAGTGCTGGAGCAGGATAGGACTGGGGCAATTGTCTGCCAAGTAAACGGGAGAGAGAGCAGCAATAAGAGAGAGGAAGGAAACTTGTTTCAGGGTTGTCACCGACCCAGGGCCGAGTGAGTTCTTAGGCAGCTCATCCTGTGGGTGGTCCATGCTCTGGAAGTTAATGGTGACAGCTCTCCAACTGCCTTAGAAGCAGCAGGAACACTCTGCTGCTGGCATCTGCTCCTGAGGCAGCCCAGACAGGAGACTGGTAATCCCTCAGGCTGCATTTTGTCATCTCTGGCTGACGTGAGGAAAAGAGAATTGCTCCTTATTAGGTGTCAGGGATCTGGAAGTGCCTTTTCAGAGGAGGAAAGATCGACTGTTTAAAAATGAAAGAAGCAAATGGACAGCCCTATCTGGTTTGAAGCAGGAGGCTCTTCATTTGGAGGAACCAAACAGGGTAATTTGCAAACTCCTGTTGGAATAATAAGTCTTTAATGGCTGGAATATGATTATGGTTCATATTCCTGAGGGCTACCAGTGTTAGATGCTCAGCTGTGCTGGAGTGTGTCAGACATGCAGCCTGGTGAAAGGCAGGGAGACCCTCACAAGCTGGGGAGGTGAATACTGTGTACAGCCACTAACGAGGGTGCTCAGTTACAGGAGCACTTAAATGTTGGCTGTGGAATACATTTTAATTGGTTAAGTGCTTTGGTGTGTTTTTGAATCAGGCACATTTTCTGTCTGCAGGATTTCCTGGCCCAGTATGGATTGTTAAAGTGGAAAGGAAAATGGATGTTGCTCTCTGAAGCCCAAGGTGCTCTGTGGCAGCTCACTAATTGCTGCTTTTGTGGGCCAGGAGCCGCTGCAGCAGGGAGGGAGGGCGGAGTGTCAGCCCTGGGTGCGCTGTTTCATGCCAGACACGAGGTTGTTAATGGTGATGTGCTGGCCTGCTTCCCTCCAAAAGCAGCAAATGCCCTGGGTGACCTTACAGGAGATGAGTGAGAGCTCTCAGACAGGTGCTGATGCCAGTAAGAGTGACTCCAGTGACTGACAGGGTGGGTGGTGCACACAGAGAAAAGACAGCATCCTTTACAGCACAGCTGTAAAACTGAGCACTTCCCTCTTGAAAACAGGATCTGGCAGCTCAGGTGTGTTTTGTACAGTCCTGTAAGGAAAACGTCTTCTGAGTGCAAAGCTGCAAGAAATGCCAACCAGAGTGGCTCTAGGGCTTGAGCTACTTGCAAAAAAATAGAAACTGCAAGGTTGAGGGACTGGTGGCAAATCTCAAGGCTTGTGGCATAAGGCTTGGAACAAATGTTGATGGTTTTTCCTACTGGAAGATTAACGTTGCATTCCTGTGCTGTGTATGAGTTATGGTAGGTTGAAAGAAAAACTTACGTCACACTTCTGATTGCAACCCTGCTTTTCTTTCTTTTTTTTCCCACCACTTCTTTTAGGCAGAATTAATATAGCCAAAAACTTGCACATAATCCAGTAAAATAAGAGTTTACTGCTAGAAATGAATGATCAACAGGAACAAGAAAGATGTCAAGTTAAGAGGCTTCAACTTCTGTAACCCCTAAACTGAAGGTAAAATCCCCCTGCTAGCTTCTTTTTCGTATGCTCCTTGCTGTGAACTACAAAGCCATCTCCTGCTTGAAGCAGTGCATTCATGTGGGTGGGCTCTGCTTTATGTGGAGACTTTCCTGGTGAGTATTAAGGCCAAGACTTGGCCTCTGCTTTCCCCAGCTGTGGCTGAGAGTCGTGTCGTTTTTTAAGAGGTAAGAATGCTGCAAGAAAACAAAAAACCAAAACAAACAAAAAAACTCAACCGACCAAACCATAAAAATCACAATTCTCTGGAATAATTTTCAGACTGTGAAGCTCTTTTCCAAAGAAGTGTGCGTTGATGCGTGCAGCGTGATCTTTGTTTTGTGGTTCTGTGAGTGTTTTATTGTTCTTCCGTAGCTGGCAGCACGTTTCCCTCTGAAACCTGTGTCCCTCTGCAGATGAGAGCCCTGCTGCCAGCAGCAGCCTGCTGCAAGCGGTAGCCGAGGCAGAGTGGCTGCCAGGGAGTGTTGGAAGAGCTTCTCCCCGCGCCTGCTTGGCTTCCCAGCGCAGGTCCCATGGCCTGTGACGAGCCCGCTGCTCCCTCGGGCACCTTCACGCGGCAGAACTCCTCCAGCACCGGCTCCCTGGACTTCGAGCCCAACGCCGACTACAAGTTCGTGGAGAGCCTGGAGGAGCGCTACAAGTGCGCCCACTGCCACCTGGTGCTGCACAACCCCCACCAGACGGGCTGCGGGCACCGCTTCTGCCAGCACTGCATCCTCGCTCTGAGGTGACAGCCCGCTCCTCCCTGTCCGCAGGCTCCCCTGCTCCCTTTCCTAAAAAGAGCAGCCCACGTCTCCTATAAATCAGCAGTGAGTGCCATAGTGGTATTGCCCACCCAGTGAGAGGCTGAAGGAGTCAATGGCAGGGCTCTGTTGAACCCAGGGTGAAAAACGCCAATCACTTGTTTTTAAAATTTTAGAAGTTTAATAGTAATAAAATGGTTATAAAAAATAATATAATTAAAGTAATAATAATTTGGACAATTTAGATTAGGACAATATGAGGCAACAGAAACAAAGAGTAACAGACATCTGGGTACCTTTTTCAGGGCAGCATAAGCCCAAAAAATACACCACGTAAACAGAAGATTAACCCTTAAAAGCAATAGCCTGTTGCATATTCATACATCTCATACATGATGCAAAAATTCTATTCAAACACAGGATTCTGTCTGGTCAGTGTCAACTTCTTCTTCTTAATCCTGATGGCATCTTCAGGGCTGAGCAAGGCGGGAAGAAGTTCATTTCTTCTGATAACGGGGCAATAAATTCTCTTTCTCTGAAAGATTTAGGTGTCCTGTGGCTGTTATCTGGTGCAAGTACCTCATTCCTTTCTCTAAAAAAATATCCCACATACATAGGTCCTATTTTAACTACAAAAGTAACCTTTTAACCACAAAACTACATTTATCATATTATTAAAATGTTAATACAGCACCACTAATCAATACAACAAAATACATATAGTAAATATCTGTGTAGAGCCATATAAATGCACTTTTCACACCTGTGACTGCGTGCTCAGTGTTTTAAAGGTGTCTCTAAAGACCTTACCCCGTCTGCAGGGAAGTCAGCATAAAGAAACTGTTGATGTAAGCTGATAGTGCTGTGTGAGATGCTGCTGTGGTCTGTCTGTCTGCCATGGTGCTCTTCAGAGGAATTTGCTGCATTGATGTCTCAAGGTGTTGGTGCTGGTGGTTAGACTAGGCTGTGTTCATTTGCTTCTGTATAATTCCTCTGAATTCAGCAGAATTGTAAACTGATGTTAATATTACCTGATGCTGCAGTCAGATCACAAGGCTGCTAGCATGCCTCTTCCTTGGTACAAATGAGTTTATCCTCCAGACCTGTCTGGGAATACATTATGGACTCTTTGGTGTGCCTGAGGGCAGGATTTCACCTGGAAAGGTTGCAGATGAGCCTCTTTATGTGGATGGATATCACTAATTACCTTTTGTGAACTTTAGATGCTTCATGTTTGCTGCTTTATCTCTGGGTTAACTCCTTTTGCACAGCCTCTATGACTATTTTCCTGGATTTTACATTATTCCTATGCCTTTTAAGAAAGAAGCCATTAGATCTCCTTTTAGTGGCATATCAAGGAGGGCACTGCTTCTAGTAGAAAAAGGCTGGGTTTAAAGCACACAGTGAGATTTTTTGAGATATGACATTTGTGATCTGCAGATGGTCAGACAGTGATGATGTTCCCTTAATTAAAAAACATCTTGTGGTTTTTACCATTGAACACTCTTAGGACAGACTCTGCTTTCTGTTACGTATTCACAGTTACTGCTTTATGTCCTCTTTGAGCTATGGGCAGAATTTGGCTGTGCAGTTGCCAGATGAAAGTGTTTTTAAAGGACTTATTGTTTTTATGCTATCTACTGCTGACTGCTGTCAGAGTCAGATTATAGCATAGCCCAATTTCATAAAACAAATTGAATTTCCTGTGGGTTAACACGACTCTTCTTTTGATCTAGAGAGTTAAATGCAGTACCGACCTGTCCTGTCGACAAAGAAACAATAAAAATGCATGAGGTAAGTGGCTATAGCTTTATTTCAGCAGTCAGCATTTACATGGGAAAGGCAAGGCAGCTGAGAACAAGGTGGCTTTCAGTCCTCAGGGCAGAGCAATTTTTTGTCTCTGAAATAATGCTTAAGGAAGCAGTCTACTCAGTGATGCTCTCCCAGAAAAGGATTATGGCTGTCTAGCTTAAGCTTCATTTTATACCTCATGTTCTAAAGTTATTTCATTTTAGTCCTCTGTATTTCCAGTAAAGTGTTGAAGAATTTCACAAAGCTTTGAATCCTCCCAAGTCACCAGATGTATGGTTTTTTAAAGGAGATTTTACTGACTTGCTTTTTAAATTCCCTGTCTTGCTGGAGTATCTTGTTTATTTGATTGTCTTCATTTTAACTTGGCTATAATTTGATTTCTTGATTATCTCCATTAGATCTCATTAACCCTGAAGACCTAATTTACTTTTGGGTAACTTTTAGAGGAAAAGAGAGATAATCCTTTTTATTTTCCAAGCTGTTGTTGCTTTTGGTTGTTTTGTTTTATAATGGATTCATTTGTCCTTATTTATATTCCAAAGCTTAAAAGTATACTACATACTGGTCCTGCCAGAAATTTTCCAGGGAAATAAAATGTCTCCTTCCTCTCTCTCCTAATCCTGATAGGAAATTATTATCTGACTATCTACAGGATTTTTGTTTTTCATTTTTCATCTTCTATTTCTTGCAAATTTTGATGACAACAATGCGGGAAGATCTCTAAATAAGGCTGAGAGTTTGCTCTGGGAGCTTCATTTGCTTCTGCATACACAGCTGAGAACAGTGCTGCTTCTCAGAGGTGCCAGAAAGGATATCTCAGCATCACCTCCATCCCAAAGGCACTGCTTGAACAGAGTGGAGCATGCACAGAGCTGGGTTGGCTTTCAGAGCCAATACAGGCAGGCTCTGGCAGGGCTTATACAGCTCCTGTGCTACTAGTCCTGCTGGCTGTGGGATGGATCAGCATCTCTGGAATAACTACATGCGGAGAAAAGAACTATGCTTACTAGAAATGTCATAAATAGCTGAATTTATAGTTTCAGTACAAATTTTCAATATGAATTATCGAGAGCCATACTCACAATTATGGTGTCTGTGCTTGAACACCTAGAAGATCTGTAGTGATGCTTTGTTCTTTTATATTATTTATAACATCCCATGTGACTGCATATTAAGGCAGGTTTGCTTCCTTTACAGGTATTCAAAGACAACTGCTGTAAAAGAGAAGTTCTCAACTTGCATGTGTTCTGCAAAAACTTTCCTGACTGCAATTCAAAAGTAATTCTGGGGCGATATCAGGTTGGTTTGCTTGATCAAATTTTGAAGCCTTTGATTTTCATGACAGCTCCGTGTATTTGTGATCAGCTAAATTCCCATGATTGTCTTCAGAGTTATTGTAGCAACGTGGTTCAAATACAAGGACTATGGCAGCTATACACTGTAAGTAGCATAGATTACAGCTTTTAGCTTGTTCCAGCTTTGCCTTGGGGTGTTGTTTTTTTAATAAGAACCATTTGCTTTATGTAGCCTTTGTAAATCGCAGCATTCGTTCATATTCTGAATGCTTAGGTGAATGTTGATTGGAGGGAACCACACTGGCCTTTTGGCATTTACCCTGCTGCTGTTGTTGCAGGAGCATCTGCAGCAGTGTTTGTTTGAAAGCATGCAGTGCACTAATGATGGATGTCAGGATCGAATTCTCCGCAAAGACCTGAAGGAGCACTTGAGCCAGCACTGTAAATTCCGGGAAGAGAGGTGCCGGTACTGTAATGCACATGTGGTGTTAATTAACATAAAGGTAAGATTATGGAGCATTCCTGGGAAACCATCACCTGTTTCCCCTTAATATTGCTGAGTGAAAAGTTTCCAGCATTGCAATGGCACTTAACTCCTGGAAAAAAATTTGGCTGAGTAGCTGAAGAAGAAAGTATAATAAATGTAATTTAAATTATACCAATTATTGATGCTCTCTTATGAACAACAACGTGATATGTGACTTGCATTTGTATGTTTGGGATTACTTTTTGCATAGCTTCCTCTGTATATACTACTTTACAAAAATGAAAGCCATTGCCTTGTTCTGTTTTCTTCTTCTTTAGAATCATGAGAAAAATGACTGCCCTGATTATCCTGTGCCTTGTCTCCAAAACTGTTCACAAATAATTCTGAAAAAAGAGGTACTATTATTTTTTCTGATACTGCAATTCAGCATATTACATAAATTTATGAAAACTGAAAGCTGCAGACCACATTAGCCCATGCCAATAAAATTTCATTGCTCTAAGAGTTTCCTTTGTTTGATCCTAAAAAGGATATATCTCCCATCTTCTAAGTGGATTTTTCTGTCACTGCAAGCCATGGGAGTTTTGCAGCATGGAAAAATACCTGGCTTGCTTATTGATTCTGAATACTTGTTTTCCTGGTAAAGTGATTGGTGGTGTCATGACAATGGCCTTTATTCACCCTTTTTGCAGGCATTTAGATTTTATTAGTGCTTTGAATTACAAAGTGTTTATTTAATCACAAACTGCTTCATTAATACATGCAGATTGAAAAGCACCACGCTGTGTGTCCTGAGGCAGAAGTGGACTGTCCATACAAGCAGTACGGCTGTCATGTAAAGGTACTGTTTTGCACATCTTTGTCTGTACCAGGACTGAACTTTGTCTCCCAAACCATCAGAATAATTAAAATAACCAATTTATGTCCTTTCACAACCATTTCTGCTGGCTAAGATGAAATACTAGAGAATCAGGACTGCCCTTCCCTCCCTTTCAAGGCATAAAGGAGACATTTTGAATGTTTGCATCAATAATTTTTTTACCAACAGCTTCAAAAATCTGCTTATCTTACTATTTTATTCTTTCACTTCCCCCCTCTGCCTCACTAAGGTTAAAAGAGGGAAACTTGCTGAACATGAAAACAGTGCCCTGAGGGAACACATGCTGCAGATTTTAGACAAGAACTCCCGGTTGGAAGAGCAGGTAAGTCATATTTAATGAGCACTCTTCAGCAGTTCTTGACTGGTTAGAGGATGATATGAGATTCTACATTTGTTGCCTGGTTTAGATCAGGTACATTTTAAAGACTATTTTTATGGTTTTTCACGCCTCAGAAGACAGAGTAAGCTCTTCTAGTGAAACCAGTTAATTACAGGGAAACCTCTGTGTGCTCAGGCACATATATTCTCCACCAGGCACAGTGGGAGGTTCCTTGCTATTGCTCACCTCATTTGCTTTCAGTCTCTGCTTTACACTGGATTTGAGGTTTAGAGATAAAGTAATTTAAAGTTTAATTGACTAGCCAGGTTGCTCCAAAAGCAGCCTTTAGGTGCCCAGGTCACCTGCTCTGTGTGGAGGCAGCACAGAGGACAGCAGAGCCAGTTGCAGGCACCTCTCTGCTCAAGATCACTTCTTTGGCTCCCAGCAGGAGACTGGGTTTAGGCCCAGTCCTGTTAACTGAGTTGATGGGGGACTTACTCTTTGCTTGTTTATGCAAGAAATAAAAGTCCCAAACTGCTAAGACTTGATTTTGAAGTGTGTGTCCCTCACTGACTCATCTCTTCTGATGGTTAGACATCAGCAGAGGAAAAAAATGCATATACATATACATATACATGCACCTGTGCATGTAAGTATATATTATCCCACTATAGAGCTGAATGGATCATCACGATGGAAATGAGAGATAGGAACCTCTTTGCACCTGGAGCCACACAGATCTGCTCAAAAGTCTGATTACCTTATGTGCAGTTCTTGCAGTGCTTATTCACAAACAGTGAATGAAGGAGTGCTCCCTCTAGCTCACGCAGAGGATTTGCTTTGTAAACTTTCCCACTGTCTCTTGTATAGTCAGATACATTATAATTTCTGCATCGTATGTTTTGATGTTCCTTAGCATTTATACTCTGATTTTTCCATCTGTAGATATCTGACCTGTATAAGAGCCTGGAATGTAAAGAGATTAAAATCCAGCAGCTAGCAGATGCCATTAAGAAGTGTGAGAAAGAATTCAGACAGTATACACAACTGTTTGGTAACAATAGCAACTTGATGGTAAGCACTCAGGTGAGACGTTGATTTTACTTTTTTTACCAATTGCTTTTTTGCATCCTGAAATATGTTTCTCCAGTAATTGTTGTTATTAATAGCACAGCAGTAATAAATCTCCCCTAGACCTTCTCATTTTTTTACAATATCGTATTGTCTTTTCCTTTGAATCGATACAGAAGTTTGGATACATGTCTGGGCAAAAAAAAAGTACAAATCCTCATGGTCAGATGCCCAGGGCAAATGTGCAGGTGTAAATTTGAATAATGAGTTGAATGAAGTGGTGCAGTGTGAATGGGTTCTGAATGAGGAATGGCTTCTCAGTCTGTTAATGTGCTGAATTAATCATGAAGGAGCACTGGGATAAGTTCCTAAGCCAGCAGAGCACTTTGAATGCATCACATTGTTGCTACTGCTGACATGCTAAAGACTTCACTATCTTAATTCAAAGCAAATGCCTGGTTTTATGGATATCTCTTGTCTCTACTTCCCACCCTCTTCCAATGGCGTGAACTGGGAAGGCTCTGGCCAGTCACCTGGACAAGTCTGCACGCCTGGAATCACAAGTGAAGCAGCTAATACAGATGGCAAACCAGCAGCAAAGTAAACTAGACCTGCGGCCCCTGTTTGACACCATTGAAACAGTGAAACAGAAGATTGCCCTGATGGAGACGTACGACCAGCGCTTGGGTATGTTGGCACTTCCCTGCACATTTGGGGGGTTGCTGATTTTACTGCTGGCTAAGTGGAGGTTCTGGTGCTACACTCAGGCAGTTGGAGCTCTTCACTAGAAAGGGCTTTCTTCTTGCATTCTGAGACCAAACTGCAATGGTGTGTGCAGTGTTCTCCCACCTTCCCCTACTGCACAGTGTCTCCTGAACTCCAGTGGCACTGCAGGGCCACAGAGCACAGAGCTGGCCTTGGTTTGGCTCCTGCACTGTGATGGAGGCTGTGGTGCTATTCTGGCATTCACAATTTATAGTCGACAGCTTTTCTTATTCAACTACCAGCTGCTGCAATTACAGTTTTAAAAAGTTAACAGCTGTAGTTCATAGCCTGTACTCAGGCTTGGGTAGATCAGTTTTGCCAGCTTGAGCCTGGGTGCTCGTTTTATCCAGGGCTCTGATGGTTTTATTTTATCAAATGTGTCTCTCTTTTTTCTATTTCTTTTTATTTCCCTCTTCTCTCAGTTGTTTTGGAAGACCAATCCAGCAAACATGATCGCCAGATCAATAATCACAAAGCACAGCTCAATAAAAACGAAGAACGATTTAAGCTTTTGGAAGGCACGTGCTACAATGGGAAATTAATCTGGAAAATCACGGACTACAAGAAGAAGAAAAGAGAGGCAGTGGAGGGCCGTGTGCCGTCCATAGCCAGCCAGCCCTTCTACACCAGCCGCTGTGGGTACAGGCTGTGTGCCAGAGCCTACCTGAACGGGGATGGCTCGGGAAAGGGAACCCACATCTCCCTCTACTTCGTGGTCATGAGGGGCGAGTTTGACTCGCTGCTGCTGTGGCCTTTCAAGCAGAAGGTTACACTTATGCTTTTGGACCAAAGTGGGAAAAAAAATCACATTGTGGAAGTCTTTAGAGCTGATCCCAACAGCAGCAGTTTCAAAAGGCCAGATGGAGAAATGAATATCGCCTCTGGCTGTCCGCGCTTCGTGCCACACACCGTCCTGGAGAGCACAAAGAACACCTACATCAGAGATGACACTCTCTTCTTGAAAGTGGTCGTGGACCTAACTGACCTGGAGGAATTGTGAAAAGCCCGGTCTATGTGACTGCTGCTTTTGTGGTGAGCACCAGCCATGCAATAGCAAATTGCCACCAGTCAAGCTACTGAGAATATTTCATGGCTTTGGACTACAGGACAGATAAAGAATTGCCAAAGCATCAGCCTTTCCTTTTCTATCCTTTTTTCCAAGACTGCATTTTTAAGGCAGCTAGAAGTCCATGCTGGCGCAAAGATGCATCCAATTCAGATTGGTTCAGTCCAGGCTGGGGGGAATGCTTGGCTCCCATCCCCAGACTGCCATTTGGAGATGAACCTCCTCCAGAAAATTTCCAGGAGCCCAGGCAGGCCTGTGGGCTCCTCTCCCTCACACAGAAGTGAAGCCATGCCCAAACATGCAAGTGCATTTCATCTGTCTGCAATGCAAACATTTCAACATTAGCAAATTAGAATCAATGTGTCTTGATCCCTCCATCTCCTGGATTTTTGAAGCAGTGAGAAAGGCTTCAGTCAGGCAGGGTAAACATTGGCCAAGTATCTTGCATCTTTTTATTTGTTTTAATCATGTTTTTCCAGAAAGCCCAGAGGAAGGAGCCAATGCCTCTTATTTTTTACCCTTTTTTTTCAGCTGTACAGAGTACCCCAGGTCACAACAGCTTTCTTGTGTCCTTTCCACTCCTGCCTAGTGCCTTGGGACTGGTTTCCATTGGTGGTAAACATCCACAGTCCCCATCTGAAGCCAAAAGCTGCAGGTGCTTCTCACCTCTCAGGACATGGCCAGAGGCAGGGCAGTCAGCCAGCCTGCCAGCTCCTAGCTGCACTGCTGCAGAAGGGGCAAAACTCCTGTTCTTTTGCTTCCACATCTGTGCAAAAGAGATGTTTTCTGGCCTTACCAGCTCTACAAAAGGCAGGAATAGCTTGGGGAATAGCTCACTTATGTAACATGCACTGTTCCTCCTCTCCTAGAAGTTTGGGGAAAGGGGGAAAATAGATTAGGGAGTGAGGTTGCTGTAAGAAGCCAATTTTGACAATCAGTGCAGCTTTAGTGTTTGTTGAAGGATGACACAGCTGCTGACCATGATGTCTGAAGATCTTAATTTTTATTCCAAGTTCCTTCCATATTGCAAAGGAATGTGTGCATTGTACAGGGTTTATTTGAGACAGACTAAAACCACCAAGGTCAGGCACTGAGGAACAAGTGACACAGAACACATGTGCCTTTTTAAAGTCCTTTGGGTGCCTGTAAGAGGGATGTAATTCTGCATGCTCAGTGGTTTTGTTATTACAAGTGGCAGAATTTTGCATCTCTCATCTCTTACAGGTCAGGTGGGGAAACACCTCAGCATTATCCATTGCTCCAAAGCTTATCAAGAGACAGCAAGAAACTAAGCTGGTTTTGGAGTAAGAGTAAACTAGGCAGGATAAAAACCAAAACAGGGCACAGACTGAAAGGCATAAGATAGAAAATTCAAGAGGGCAAATGTGGTAAAATGAAAAATACCCTTCCCATAAGGGATGTTGATAAGAATCTAAATAATTCAAGGATTGATACCCAGATGAAGGCAAAGTACTTTATTTTGTATCTGCAATCTTATTGCTAGACATTCACTTTCCCACATGGTTTTCAGGGCATAATTCAGACACATGTATTTTCTAACTCAGGGGTGGAGGGGAAGAGACCTTAGTAATCTGTACCTCCTGGTGGGTTAGCACATGGGAAATCTTTGTTTTGATCTAGAAGTCCTTTTGTTTTATAATGTCAAGATGTACTGAGCCACCATAGGGGCTTTCCATGTTCCTGGGGACAGATTGTGAGGAACAAATTTATTCTTGTGTACCTCCACCATTGACCTCAGGAATCATTTCAGCTGTAAAACAGAATTAATTAGGCATAACACTTGGTTACAGAAAGAGCAGGCTTGTTTTGACAGTGGTGTGCCATTCTGTGACATCAACCCTGAGCCTGGATTTCATGTCACTCATTACTTTAATTTTTGTCATGTAACCTTCAAAGTGACACAACTTCCATAATAACCACTAACAACTGATGGGAATGTACCATCCCTGTGTCCTGGGGCTCTCCAGGACACTGAGTGTTCAATACAGAAAGTGATAAAGGACAAGCAAGGGAGGCAAGATGGAAAGGATGTGTGTGGTCTGTATCCTGGCAAATTCCCAGCCCTCTCTGCCTCCACCACCCCAAATGTAAAATGGGAATAATAATACTTGCAGAAGCACTAGGGCTATTTAAATGTTTGTGAAGAAGTTTGAGCATGAAAAGAGCTAAGTTTTATTAAAACTGCATTTCTAATTGTTAGAATAAGTGATGGCATAGTGATGTGGATAAGTGTTTAGTGTTTTCCTAGACAGATTTTGGAAGCATGTTTGGTTTTATGCAGTTCCTACCTGCAGTCTCTCCTCTACCTACTGGTTGGGTTTAGGTTTTTGCCATGAATATTCTTTTTAAAATTCTGAAGCACAAATTCATCCTGGGTGATGGAAACATCCCTTTTGAAATACTGCCTGTTTTATAAAGAATTAGTTGAGAAGATTAATTTTTTTAAAGACAACCTTCTTTAAATTTGTTCTTTTTAGTACAGAAATTAAGAGATTTATGTTAAAATTTTCAGTGATTTTTTTACTGCTTGTAAACAGGGTTTTAAATTTCATCCCATTCCTAATAAAGAAAAAATGTTGTATAGCATGAACTGTCAGGAAGAATTTTGATGTTGCATGAAGAATACCAAAAAACTTTTCAATAATATTGTACTGGGTAAGTAACCAAAAGAGCATAGGGTATTTCTACATCAGCATACCATATGTTTCTAATGTATTTATTGATAGTTTGTAGTTGTTTGAATATCTCTTACTACAATAGAGACATTTTTCTAGCCGAATGTCTTTACTGTGTACATAAACTAATGTAAGAATAAATAATTTTATCATCCTTCTAGAGGGACTGTTTTTGGCTGGACTGAAGGAGACTTTTAAGGATGCGGAGTACTGGACATTTGTTTACGCTAATTAAAAAAAATAACAAAAACCAACAGATTAGGAATCAATGTGCTTCACGGGTATTTTGGTTCGGACTTGGATATCGCAGAGCAAGTTCAGTAAATGCTAAGCTAGATCAGATGAATACCCTCGAGGTCTGAGGCTGCACTGCGATGACAATTTCTGCTTGGGCCGGCTTTGGGCTCAGCAGGGCTTGGATTTGTTTCGGTTCAGAGCAGGAACAGGAACTGTTCCAGAATCCCACGACTGCGGCGTGCTTGGGAACGCGGTGCTGTGCAGCGGGAAGGGGACGCTGGGCAGGGCAGAGCCCAGGCAGGCGGAGCGGGAACGCGATCAGGCCCCGTGAGGGAGGGCGGGCAGAAAGCGGCGGAGCGGGGCCGTGTTCGGTCCCTGTGAGGGAGGGCGGGCAGGAAGCGGCGGAGCGGGGCCGTGTTCGGACCCTGTGCCCGCGGCTGCCGTGAGGGAAGGAGGGCGGGCAGGAAGCGGCGGCGGGCAGCCCCAGTCCTTCCGGGGCGCGGGCGGTGCCGGCCCAGGGGCGGCGGAGCCCGGGCGGCGGCGGCCGCAGCGCGGGTGGGTCGGGGCCCCGGGGCGGCCGGGGAAGGGTGGGCCGGGCCGGGGTACGGCCGCCGAGGGCCGTGGGCGGGATCCGTGATCCAGAGACAGCCCCACGCGTAGGAGTGGGTAAAACCCCCCGGCGTCTGCGGCAGCGGCACCCGAGCCGGGTCTGGCCTCCGGTTCCTGGTGCAAGGGCGTGAACGTGCTTTCCCCTGCAGTGGCGTGCGGTGTCATGGAGGGGGATGTGGCCCTGTGCCGTGTGCCCTGGGATGGCCCTGCTGGAGCGGGGAGGTGGGACCAGGGACCGACCGTGGTCCCTTCCAAGCTGTCCCGCCCTGTGCTTCCATGGCGCTGCCATCAGGCGTGCTGGCTCGATTCCTCGGTTTCTGAATTTCCCCCCCACCGCCAAAGTCTTTTGGAAATTATATGATTGAATGTCCTTTTGCTTCTGACTAGATATGGATGACAGGAAGGATGAGAAAAGCAGGACGCTGTGTGCAACCTCAGAAGAAGGGCTGAAGGCCCGAGGTAGGTGCTGTGATCTGTTGCTGTTCTCTGGTGTTGGTTTGTGTATCACCCTCTGTGTCATTGCTGGGTTTGCTTGCTTGGTGATGCCCGTAGACCATGGCACACTGGAAGAGCAGGGAAAAACACAACCAACCTGTCAAAACAGGGATTTATTGTGTTTAAATTCTACTGAGAGTCATTTCAGTAGGCCACAGTCATTAGCAGGCTTGTCACTGTTGCCTTGTGTTGCCCTAAGGAAAAGAAAAAAGGAAACGAAAGCGCAGCAGAAGCAGATCCTCATCTGTTTCATCCACATCGTCTTCTAGCAGTACATCCACTTCTTCCTCCTCATCACGCTCTTCATCAAGGTCATCTTCTTCCAGCAGTAGTAGAGGTAAGCTACCTCCACATGCACATGGTGTTTTCCAGTTCTGATAGCACTCCTGAGAGCATTTAAAGCTTGTTTTAGAAGTGGTGAGACCGCCACAAAGTGATAGTGCAGAATACCAATGCTGCTTGTTCAGGATGTTTCTCTCATAACCCTTTCCTATTGTATGTAAAGGTGCCGCTTCACACACAGTTTGCCATGTTCTTATGTTAATTTGAATTCCTTCTAAAGACAAACTGCCTTTCAAATAAATGTTACTTGGTAAAAATATGCTGCGTATATTTAAGCCCCTCAGTTTGCTGCATTTTCAAAACACAGATATTTTTTTACTTCCCCAGTCTATCTAGACCAGAGTTGTGGGTTTGACTTTAGTCCTCCTTTGGTCTTAACATTTCAAGCATTTAACTTTGAGGACTCAGGTGAAGCTGACATATCTGCAGAATCAGTAAATCAGGTATTTTCAGCTTCCATGTTAGCCCCGTAAGTGGCAGTAACTTAATGTGTTCTCTTTCTCAGGGTTAGTTCAACCTGTGTCGATACACATATCTGAACTAAAGCACTTTCTTCATATGTCTCACATTTCTCTGTCTTATCAAAATAAGATAAAAAACAAATGCCTTTTAAGAATGCTAAACTGAGTGTTTGATTTTGTTATTAATTTTTCCTTTTTTAAATTTTTAATTAATTTTCCTTTAATTTTAGATTCTCCTAAGTCTAAGTCAAAGAAGAAGAAAAAAGAAAAACACAACAAAAAGGTAAAAGTTTACAAAGAGAAATAAGGAGTTAACAAACAAAACAGTTCTTTATATTTCAATAACCTTAAATGTCATGTAAGACAAGGCTTTTGTCTGTGGCTGTATAAATCTAAATCATGCTTTTAGGGTTGTGGTAGCTGAACTGAAAAATGGGCACTTGACTTTAGACAAAAAGAGAAAGAATTTAAAAGTTACTATTGCCAATCATTGCTGGTCCAGCTGGAGTTTAGAGTAGTCTCTGAAAAAAAAGAGAAGTGGGGAATCTTGATAACTTTATAGAATTTGCCAGAAAAAATTATTTATAGTCGGTGCGTGGTAAATTCTTGCTGATGTAATTTTTCTATTCAATTTTCAGTGATCTTATATATTGGGGTTACTTTAAAAGAGAGAGAACAGGGAATCAGACCTTTTGTGACTCTTGCTCAGAGTCCCAAGGGTTGCTAGCTCTGGTGCATTACTTTCTACTGCTTGTCCAGCAGTGGTAAGGGCAAGCAGCAGTGTCTGTCTTGACTTGGGTGGCCTTGGGAGATCCTGGGGGGTTTGGGGGGTTTTGCCCTTGTTAGTCTGTAAGCATAAGAGTGTATGTCTTCTTGTAGAAAAGGAAAAAGGAGAACAAAATGAAGAAAAAGAAAGAAAAGAAGAAAAGGAAAGAGAAAACAGGCCCTGTCCAGCTTTCCAAGGTATGCTGGTCCGAGTGTGAAGCCCTGTTTTATTTCTCACCTACATAATTAATCCATCCTGTCATAAAAATGTTTATAGGATCACCAGCTTGGTCATCCACCAGTAGAAACCTCTCTCTGTTGTTGTGGACAGTAAGGAAGTGTAAAAGATTATTGTCTGCAATTTTACGTAAGATTTGTACAGAACAAAATTTATGTCTTTTTAACATGTGATCTCACTTCAGTTCTTCAAAAACAAAAAGAAGAATGAAAACTACAGCATGATAACCGGAAAGAAAATTAAGATGAAAATAAAGAAGACTAAGGAAGATATAGAGGTAAGAGTTAATTAGTCTAAATGTCCCTGAGAAAAAATACTGGATCTTTAAATATCTTTTCTAGTAGTAATTTTTGTAGAAGAGTGGGTCTTGCAGTTAAGAGTTGTAAAGTGAGGGTAGCTTTTAATGTGGCTGTGATGCCCTCTGAGAAATTTGAATTCACTCTTTTGGCAGGTTTTATGTTATGAAGGGGCTTGGAATACTCAGTCATGAGCAGATAAACCAAAGGATGCTTGTGCAGGTTCTTAGAATTTCAGCCTCTAATCATTAGGCAATTTGTAGCTTTCTCTTGCACTGGTGCTAATTGTACTCATCTTCTTTCAGTCTCTTGTGATCAGTTGTGGTAATTGCTACTTCACTGTGTTTTTCTAACACATGCAAGAGTAGCCTTTATTTAGAGAGGAATTTTTAAAATCCCAGTTGTACTACTGCACATCCTCCTGCATTTTCTTAGAGCAGTCAAATGTTTTTACTGAGATACCTAGGGAAATAAATAACCATGAGTTGTGTTGTGTGCTGTTGCTGTGGATGTTTTGACTCAGCCCTTAAATACCTTCACTCTTCATCACCTCAGGGTGACCTGCAGAGGGCTCTGGTGCTGGTCAGGAAGTGTTACTTCCTCGAGGCATCCGCTTGGCAGATTCAGGTTCAAGCCCTAGTAGTTCATTCTACAGCTACCAAAGCAGTCCTGAGCATTCTAAGTTAAACTGGACTGAAAACACATTATCTTCCTCTGTGACACCAAAGGGTGTGTTAAATTATGCTGAATATTTGCTAGTTTTGTTCCAGAAGTCTGCTGGTTACAGTATTCAATGTCAAATATTTGATGTTGATCCTTTTTTTTGTTTGGGCCTGTGGTCTTGCTGAATTGAACAACATCCATTCTTTACAATATTTAAAGATTCAATAATTTTTTATAAAAAGCTCTGGAATTGACTGGTTGGGCCATTTCTTTTTGGGAAGAGAGAACCCAAATTCAGGGTTCTGTTATGCTGCATAAGCTGCTGTTTATGCACGGGGATAAAAGGATACTTCCCAAAGCTGAGGACTTGCTGGGAGTACAGTGCCACTTGTCTCAGCCACCAGAGAGGAGCCTCTGTTGTGCTTGGGAGTTCCTCCTGGGCAGGCTGGGAGCTGCACCATGACAGCCCAGTGGAGACTCCTTAGGAAGTGTCTCATGGAATAGTGGCAGCTTGTGTCCCATTGCCTGGCACTTCCCCTGGGCACCCACTGGTAGCTAGTTGGACCCAGCTGTGTCAATGGCACTTGCTTTGGGATGTGGAAACCCCCAGAAAACAGGGATCTGTGGCCTTGCTCCTGAGTACAGCTCTGTTCAACCAGTGCCTCTGCTTGTCTGCTCGACAGAGAGACCGGAACCGTGCCCAGCTCCTGGAGTTCCTGAACTCTGCCTTGTAACAGGAGGAGCCCTCACCAAGGACTGGCAGGTGTGCCCAGCCAGCCATCATCCTAGCAGGACACTAAAGAGAAACTCAGGGAAAAGGACACCAAGTTGGACAAGACCAGGCCCTCCTACTGGGAAGAAAATTGGGATGTCCTTTCTTAATGGCAAAACACAGAGTAGCTGGTCACTTGTTCATGGAGATCCATGTCCTCCTTTTGAGATATAAGGTAATAGCCAGGCTGTGGTGTTTTAGAAGAGCCCAAGTGTGTGTTGTTCACAATGAAAAGAAGTGACACACAGAAGTCCAGCAATGTAATTTCTATCTTAACTGTATGCAGAATGCACTCTTAATTTCAAATGTCTTAATTTTTCTAGTAGCTTAAGCAGAGTATTTGTAAATGTGTATTTGAAAGATGAGGTGTTTCTTTCATGTATATTTTTTCTGGTAGTGGTTATGCATATCATAAAGAGCAAACTGACCTTTGTAAATAGAACATCCTTTTACATAAATGATTTTTTTTTGAAGTTCATTCACTAATATGTTATTTTCTTTCAGAATTTGAGATGTGGTATTTCTCTGGACAGTTTATGGCTCTCTCATTAGAAAGTGTAACAGCAAAATACTCGAGAGCAATAATGGTAGCAAATTATTTTTATCCTAAAGTAGAAGCAGGAAAGGTCTCTGCTTTTGTTTGTTTATCTGAATCAGTTGTTCAGTTCATAATAGATAATTTACCCCCCCAAATCTGGAGTTGCAGTTGCTAGGCTGAAAGCTCTGGAATTGTGGCCTGCAGTTGTGATCCTGTGTGAATCCTGCTCTCTCTGCAGCGCAGCGAGGCGCGTGCCACAGGCATGCCTCAGTCTGATGGAGAGGGAGCCGTGGCAGGGTGTTGAGGCAGGCAGTGGCAGTGACTCCACAGGCCTGCTGGCAGCCCACTGGGACATGAGACAGGTCTGCACAGGCAGCAGAAGCCCAGCACAGCTCGTGGGTGTGCCAGCTGTGCTAATTAGCTCAGTGCCTGCCCTCTTCCTTCCACACCTTGAGTCTTGGTTACCCAGCAGGCCCCTCTGTTCATGGCCTTGCCGTGGGAGTTCACTGGAATCACTGGAAGCAGGTGCTCCTCAGGAGCTGTGGTTTGGCAATGCCTGAAGGAAGGACTCAAGGGGAGTTGGCTGACAAAAACATTAAGTGTACAGCAGTCAGAGGGGGGAGATCATTAAAGAGCAAATGGAAAACTGTGTCTGTGTCTGCTACGGTGTTTTCAAGTGAACCTGAAGATTTGTACCATTGCTCAAGGGATAGTTTTATAACTGTTTAGATGTATGAAACCATCTGAAGATGCTAGAATCCTCTCCTTTCCCTACTTTTCTTTTGTTGTGAAGCATTTTGTAGTTGTTGCAGAGATGTAACTCTTTAGAAACTAAAGCCCTGATCCAGCAGAGAAACTTCATACATCCTTATGAGCATAAAACTTGCAAAAACATAGGTCAGAAATGGAGTTTCCTTGACTTTTAATCCAACAATCAAAAGGGTTTTTTTGAAAGCACTGTTCTGAAATGTCACTGGGGGGAAAAACCAACCAAACAAGAAAACCCCTTTTATTTATCATGAGGATTATGCTTTGATTTGTGCTACTTTGGTATTTTCTAGCTAGTGATGTCAAAGCATCTTGCCCAGATAAGCAGCTTTTGTCTGTGGACTTTGCATAACAAGGTTAATCCCAAACACACTCTTAGAAGACAGCATCCTTCCCATTCCCTAGGTTATATTTTATGTAAAGACAGTGTAATTTTGGAAAACTTGGTGCGGAGTAGGGAGTAGAAATTTGGAAAATGGAAAGAAAATAGCAATGGGAAACCCAGAGATCACAGTTGTAAAGAACTGCATTGGTTGGAATGTTTATACATAATTTAAATAATTTGCTTTTTGTTGCCTTGGTCAAGATCATAAAAACTCCTTGCCTGTTGCATTAGTAGGGAAAATGCAAAGGGCCTTTAGTAATATGATGTGGACTCTTCTTCCTTTTGGGTTTTGGTAGTTGTCTCTCATGGTACAAAAATGAGTCAAAATATTTCTTCTTACAAAACCTTTTTGTGGTGTGTTCAGGACAGAGAAAACTTCTGTTTCTTTTTCTTGACATGCTGGGTATGCTTTGGTGATGCTTTAAAATATTTCTGTGCCAGCATTTACTTCTAAGCTATCATTTCTTCTACAAAGCCAAGCTGCTTAAACGCTGTGTCAGTGATTCTGCTTTATTTTATCCTGCCCATTCAGTTACAAGTGCTCTCTGAAACTTGCAGCAGTTGCTGCTTTTGTAAGCCTCCTTTTCTGTTCTATCCATCTCCATGTAGATTTCTAAAGAGGCTTGAGTTGTGTTGCATCCTTCCCTTCTCCATCTTTCTTCACAAGCAGTGAGACCCTGTGCATCTTTGTGGCACTGAGTATCTGCTGTTGGGAAAAGGCCAACAGATTCCAGTCCTCCCTAGTGAGCACAGCCAGAATAATTTTCCATGCCTTGCACCCTTGGGGAAAAAGTTCATTTCACTGACCCTTTCACTAGAGCTTGGCTTCTTAATACTGCTGCAATCCCTGTTGTGGCAGGTGCACCACCAGGTGAGAAGCTTACAACAGCAACAATGTGCTGAAAATCAAGTTGAGAAATTTGCATGAGGGAAATGTGAGGCAGTTTACTGTGGGATGTTAACCTGGTAACACACACGGCTGACTTGCTGCCAGGTCTACCAAGAAGTGCATGTTGTGGGCAAGGGTGAAGCTGGAACAGAGAGGAGTGGAAAAGGTGAGCAGGGCTGGAGGGAGATGGCTGCTGTCAGAAGTTGTGGAGTGGGCAGAGGTCAGGTGATGAGGCAGGGGCTGCAGAAGCGTACCTGGCTGGGCAAGCTGAGGTTCTTCCTAAAATGCTGAATAATAGAAATCTTTTAGATGTGAAACCTGCCTTTGGTGTGAGTGTGTGTGTGTGTGTGTGGTAGTCTTCCCTGTCACACTCACCTTCTGTGTTCTGCGCCATTTTCCATTCTGAAGATTGTGCAAAACTCAACTGAATTTTTTTAGCAGCAGAATTTTCAGAAGCAGAAGTCACTGTCAGGGGAAGGAGATCAAGGATACATTCTCTGAGCTGCTGCTGCCATGCCCATCTTCCTTGGCACTGTTTGTTCTGTCCCAACCAGTTCATGTGGGCAGTGCAATCCTTTGTTACTCATTTCCTCTAGAGTTGGCTTGAACTTCACTCTTTCGCCCACACAAAAACGTAGCAGAGATGAAAAGCTGAGGCAATATTGATAAATGCCACTTTGACTTGGAAGTGCCTGGCTCCATGGAGCTAAAGTGTGTCATCCTGCAGAGCTGAGCAGGGCCTGCCATTTTGGTAACAGCTCAGTAAGGTTAAACTTGGGCAGGTTGTGCTGTTCGGATGTACTTGGGGTTTCATGCTGCAGGAATTATCATTCCCAGTCATCCTCTGCAGCAGGAAAAACGGAGTGAGCTCTACATGCTGGGAAGAGCAGGGGTCAGGGAGGCTCAAGTGACTGGCCCTGGGGTCACCTGCTGAGCCTTTCCTGGTGTGGGCAAGGGCCTTGGTGGCTGGTGGAGCTCTGATGTCCTCTCGTGTGTTCAACACCCTCTTCATGGGCTTTGCTGTGTGTATTTAGAAACAGGTTTCCAAAGTTCTGGTTCAACACTCAAGGCTGGCACCTCCACTGTCATTTGAGGACTCTGTGGAATGGCTGGATTTTATGTCAGTGTGTTTTTCTGAAGGAATGAGGTCCTGGGCACACTTGAGAAACTGAATATAACCAGTTTGCACTTGGTTTTATTTCAAGCTGTAGGATGAGTTTTTGAGGACCTGTTTCTTAAAATTATTGGCAAGCACCCATCTACCTAGTTCCATCTCTGGACAAAATTAATCATCAAAATTACTGCCCAGTGCAGAAATTGATATTTATTTGCCTGTTGGCAACAGGTATTTTTTTCTCTTTGCCTGTTCAACTTCAGTGTTAAATTGTGCTTCAGGAGTATGAGTGATGTAGTGTTGTGTGACGGACAGCAGGACACGGTGCTGAGGGGTCTGAGGAAGCCCCTGAGAGCCCTTTGGGGCAGCCTGAGGAGCATCATCCCCACCCAGCCTGAGAGGCACCGTGTCCATGGTGGCAGCTGCTGCCATCTTCCTCTCGGGCACTGAGCACCAGGGCCAACATCTCTTGTGATCACTTTGCTCCCCACTCGTCAGCTGCTCTGGGGTGACAGAACAGTGGTGGGGGAGTGAGGAATTTGTCCCGAGCTGCTGCCTGTTCCCAGGTTGGTCGGTGCTGGAATATCTGCCGGTAGGTGGCAATGCTGGCCAGCTGGAATGTCACAGAAACCTTTTTTTTTTTACCTTTGGACATTGGCTTTGCACTTATTCTGAAAGCCTATAATTAGCTCGCAAATTCCTAATTATGGTTGTTTATGGGGAACATGTGTTACTGCTGTCCTATGAATTTAATGCAGTCTTTGTTCCTTTCTTGCCCTTGGCTGTGCTGAGGACAGACAATAGTCTCTTCTGCTGGTGCCTGTGTGCCAAAGGCAGAAGGAATCCTTTAACTTCTCAGTAGCTGAATTCAACAGGAGCAGGTTGCTGAGAGCCAGCAGGGGCCTGGAATGTGCATCACCCTACCTGGGGCTGCTGAGTTCTCCAGAAACTGCACTCTGCTCTTCTCCAGCTCCTAAATACCAGTGCCAGAATACAGAAAGAAAACTCTCCAACATAAGAAATATTTCAGTGTCACTGCTGATTTACACATCTGGTTATTTAAATAGTCTTCAGGCCAAATAAAGTGCAATCTGTTGCTTTAAGTCACTTGACACTGGAAAGAATCAGGTTGGAAAAGTACTGCAGATGGACTGTGACCTGATAGAGGGCTCTGAGGACACAGCATTGTGAACACTAACCAGATGTAATAGTAATTACATTCTGAGAGCAGGTACTCTGATGTCAAAAACACAGAAGCTTTTTTCCTCACTTTGGTGTCTCTGCTCCTGGGTTACATTACATTTATTTGGTAAAGGCAACATGTGTCTGTTGCTAAAATATAGAGGTAAGATGCTATATGGGATAATCCTAGCCAGGACCCTAAAAATTTATAATATTATGAAGTGTCCAGTGACAGTGTATACAGTGTGTCCTTGCAGGTCTCTTTCTCACCTTTCTGTTGTGTTTTTTAAGATCTCATCTGTAAGGATTTTTCCCTTTGTCTGAGAATATCTTTGTGCAGGAAATGCACAGAAAATACCTGGTAGTCATGGGGAGACCTGGGCCCAAGACCCAGCACTCAGGGCCAGCAGAGCATCTCTCTGATGTAAGGCAGCCTGAGACATGGCTTGTCTGACCATGCAGAGGGAACAAAAGGTCCCTTGTGCCAGCAGCCCTCACACAGACAGCAGTACCAGGGAAAGGCAGGCACTGAAATTTTGATGTCTCTGCCTGGCACAGGTGGGTGGCACTGAGGGAGGCCTGATAGCCCTTCCTCTGTTGCAGGGCTGTGACTGATGCAGTCCAGCTCTTGTAAGAATGCTTTTTGGGCAAAACTCCCTCCAGTGCCATATCCTTTAGCAGGGAGGTGCAGCAGGACACAGGAATATCAGAGTCAAATGGCTCAATATCAGAGCCATTCAGTCAAACTGTAGTTTTCCTTCTGGGAGAGGCCTATAGCATTGTCTGGGGGAAGTGGTGTAATCAACAACACAGATTTGCTTGTCCACAGCTTCTGGCAAGGAGTAACTGTGTGCTATGGGCTGTGTCTAGGGCACTGTGGTTTACTAACCCCCTGTCCCCTTTTGAAACCACTCATCTGACTGATGTGCAGAGTGTGCTAAGCAATGCAATTCATGCTTCAGTAATACCTCATGTGGGGAAAACATGGTTCCCTTTTGTTAAAAACACATGCATGCTTTGTATATACGTTGCTTAGCACAGGGAGCTCTGAGCCATCTGGGACCATCTGCTGATATTGAAGTGTTCCAGTACACAGGATCAGGTATGGAATCAACAGAGTGACTCAAAAGTATCTGGAGACAAAACACCCATTTTGTCTCTCCTGTCATCTCCTTTTGTGGTGATACTGGTTCATGTAGGACGTGCTCAGAAGCACGTTCATATTGATGAAGACTTCGATTCAAGGTTGTATCTGCAGACCATGTAGCTTCAGAGAACTTCAGACCTTTGCAATTGCTTAATCCTGGTTAAATAAATGGTTACTTATCACGTTATATCTTGAAATCTGATTGTAGAGGTGGCAAGATAGAAGGTGGGCAGTTGCATGTGTACTTGTAGAGAGAGGATGAAGGTTTTTTGTTTAGATCAAGTGCCTTTAGCGTTTGTGCCTTCCCGCTTTGATACATACACAGTAGGGCAGTGGAACAGCTGTTGTGTTTGGCTAGATATAGACAGATTATATTTCAGGAGACCTTTAATTAAAGACAACGAGTACAGATAAATTGGTTTATATTCCACAGCTGTGATTTAATTCTCCAAGGTTCTGTGTTGAAATGTATAAACAGTGCAGTGTCAGCAGACAGGTATTTCCCTCAGAGCTTACTCCAATTCCCCATGGCATGACAGGTGCCTGAACTCTGAGCTGCTGTGGGTGAGGAACCTCAGCCCCTGCCTGCACATCCTTTCTGGCTGGCACAGCCCATGGCCAGGCTCACCTCTAGAAGCCACAGGAGCAGGACTGCACAGCTCCCGCAGGAGAGCAGTGGCTCTAAGGAGTGCCAGCCCCTGGAAGCTGGGCAGCATGGCTGAGCTGCTGCCATTACTTATTAGCAGGTGTAGCAAGTCTAGGACTGCTTCTTTCTGGGTGTGACAGTGTCCTTTGTGACAGTGTCCTTTGGACAGCACAACACTGTCAGCAATGGGGCCACAGTGATGCTCTGAGCTGATACCAAAAGCCTTCTGAAAGAAAGTTTGAGGATTTAAAATAATTCTTGCTCAACATTAACAAGCAGTTCACTTCTGCTTGTTAATGATGATGTGCCGATAGTTAATGTTTCATTGTCCTTAAAGAATTAAGACACAGGACAAGCTCTCAGGAGGTGCTAAAAACAGATCAGAGGGTCTCATCAAGATTTTTTTGTTTGTTTTTCTACACTAGCAAGTAGTGCAGCCCAGGAGGAACAGAGCTGTGGAGTCAAACAGTTACCAAAGAGGACCTGATCTTCACACTACACAAGTTTCATAAGAGTTTGTTTCAGACGACCATTAGTGCAGATTTATGGTTTGTGAGCCACCTGCAATGGATCATTTGGGTTGGCTTTAGCCAGAAACAATCTGGTTGGCCTGCTGTGTGTGCCCAGTGCCATGGACCATAGCACAGTAGGTGGGGACAGTCAGGAGTTTCATGCTCCTCATTTGAACTGACACTAATTTAGCCGTGCCAAATGTGGAATTAGGACAAGGCAAATATGAGTGCACAGTTGTTGCTGCATGCTGAGACCAAAGGATCATTTAAGGTTCAGTGTACAGCATTTCTAAGAAAAATGAGCACCAGAAGCAGCGCAGCAGTCGTGCACCCTGATCACCCCCAGCTCTGCCTCAGTCCCTGCTGCTGCACACACAGTGCAGGAGTTCAGTCATCTCCAAGCAGCTGGCTGCAGGCAAACATGGTACCACTTCTACCCCTGTAAGAGTACTAGATAGCATGGAATAGAATAGATCTCTCCTAGCTTGGTATCTGAATATCCCTCTACCATCAGATCCCACTGTGAGCCCAGTGTAACTTCCAGAAGTGATACAGGGAGAGTGATACTACTGTTCAAGAGTTTGGATTGCATTTTATTGTGGAATTATAAATTATAGGTAAATTGAGGCAAAACAGCTGTCACAAGCAGTGCCCCAGCCTGGTCTCCATAACATGCAGGGCTTTGACCAAAGGTCAGCTCTGTCTCCTTGGCTGCACCAGAATGGTGTCTGCCAGCTGGAAGCTGTTAATGAAGGATACAGCACAATCACAGGCCACTGTGATAGTGTGAACACCCATCGGGGATTTCCTTGGCTTACAACATTGCTGCAGGGCAGGTACTTACTGCTGATTCTCCTTAGAAAGAGTGAGCATGCTACAGACACTGTGCTGAAACAAAGAGCTGTGTGGCAGTGTGGCAGAAGGTCCCGTGTCTCCCAGCAGCCCATCGAACATCTCATCAATGCAGTCAATACTGAAGGTGCCAAATGGAACAGAAGTGCAAATAAAATGACAACAGAGCTGCAGAGTGAAATTCATGAACTCATCTCAGTCTTCAGTACCATACAGTGGCTTGCAAATATATTAAAAAAAAATATGGCTGACTCTTTTCCAAACAAGAATTGTTTCTGCAAATTGTGGTGACCCCCTGCTAGAGATCCTACATCTTCTAGACAGCTAAGGTTATGCTAAGTATGTCTAGCCTTGGTTTTTACTTCATTTGCACAATCACGTTACTTCACAAAGACATATGGCTGAAAAACACTAAGCTGCTTGTCAGAAGGCTTTAAACTCTCCCTCATTGACCTAAACTTGGAATAGCCTGTCCCAAACTGGATGCTGTATTTGGAAGCCCTGACTTTTTGATTAACAGTGAGCTGCTTTCTGTCCCTAGGAGGGTTGCTGGCAGCAATGTTTACCAAGGGATAGAAACTGCAGCCTGCTGCTGCTAAGAAAGCCTTGTCTTCAATCTCACATAGCCCAGAGGGGAGAGAGGAAGAGTCAGAATCCCAGTCTCAGAGAGCTCTAGGGGGTTGATCTTGATCTTTGTTTTATGCTGCCTTCCTCCATCTCTGGAAGAAGCTGCACATTTCTAGTCTAAGATAGATTTCATGCACTGGAATTCTTCCCAGAGTTGGCACAGCTTCAGAGGGTTTTAATCTTGGCTGTAGAACCCACATGCTGTTGCAAAGATCCCCAGGGAAAAATAGCTGAAAACGGACAAAAGAACAACAAAGCTACAGGGTCCTCCAGGAGGCTGTACCCCACTGAGATGATTCCCCAGCAGCCAATCATCCAAGCAAGTCCCTCTCTTCATTCCCCATCGCCCCTTGGTCACCACAAAGCATCCTAGCCCCTGGGTTCTCCACAGGACACTTGACTTTCACAGTGTGCCCTGATGTTTGCTGGTGAGAGCTCTCGCTGCCAATGCTGAGTTAGGGCCTTAGCAGCTTTTCCTTAGTGGCATTTTCCTGTCTCTTCAAGGTCTCGGAAGAACATCTGCCAGAGCACTCCAGTCACTCACAGCAGCAAATGTTCACATGATCTCAACTGCTGCCACTGTACAGAGAGCCCTGGAGATGAATGCTGAGACCCTTCCCTTTACATGGATGTTCTACTTCAGCCCTCTTTCAGGCTTGGCCATAAATATTAATTTCTGGGGTGTAGGGTGATTTCTGTTAAATGTCTGGGGTGTAGGGTAGAGCACTTAGCTCAGCAGCACAGAGCACTGAGGCCCCAGAATAGCACTTGACACAGCACTGAGGTATCCACCTCTGTATCTACACAGCAGGGTGATACATTTCTATCTGCTCTGCAGTGCAAAGTTCTGGGGGTTCTGCCTGCACAAAAGAGAAAGTACCCAAGAAACTTGAACATGCATAAACTGGTGGTTGTGGAACATGATTGGTCTTTAATCTCAAAAAGCTTGGGTCTGTTTCTGCCCAGGTTGGATTGTGAACTGTCAGCAAAAAAAGCGGATCAAGAGCAGTGCTGAGGTTACCTGTGAAGTTTGTTGTAGCACTGAGGAAGGCTATTAGTTGGAAAAGGAAGTTCAGTTCCAAATCAGATACTAGCTTTAGCTCACAAGCCTGATCCTGCAAGCCTCACTCATTTAAGTGGCTGTCTTGCTTTCAGCAAGATTGGTGCAGCCAGCAGCTCTCAGTAGCTTGAGCCAAAAGTTTTTATAGATAACTACATCCAGGCTGGAGGGGAAAGGGAGAAGACAGACATAGCAAAACTAATTCATTTTCCACAAGAAAGCAGTAATAAAAATGAGATAGTAAATGAGCCTTAAGGTCCTCAAGGTTCTGAACAGCTACTGAGTTACAGGAAAGGCTACCATGTTTGGTAATAAATGGTGTGACAGGCTGCAGGCATCAGCAGCGCTTACTACAGACACAGCTTCCAAGACAGAGACAGGCAGGAAAAGAAAGATGGAAAAAAGAACAGTAGAGTTAAAAAAGGGTTAACTGGGCTTTGAAAGATCAGTGTCTAAAAACCTTATTGAGTATAGAGTCAGAAGTCCTTGGTGTTCCGAAATTCTGGCATGCTCCAAACCCTCCTGTTGGGCTGGGTGCCCCGTTCCACATCCTCAGAGATGGTCTTGATGTCACTGATGAATGGGGAGATCCTGGACCGAGATTTAAATGTTGTTAAGGAGAGGCTGGTTCTGTTCTTTGTGTTCCACTGCCTTGCAAGCTTCTTGGCCTCTTCCTCCTCTTTGATCTTCTCAGCAGCTTCCTGCAGAACGGAGCGGAAGAGCCGGGATACTTCCTGCGCCTCTGGTTCGTACTCCGCAACCACTTGCCTGAACCTGGAAGCACAGGCAAGGCACAGCTTTGATTAAAAACATCAAATCCCAGATTGCTGCCAAATCTCTGTGCTAGGCTTGGAACCTGCACTTTCCTGCTAAATGGGACTCCCTGCACAGAAGGGAACAACAACAAGGAGAGGCCGTGAAGATATGCCCAAGGTCTCTAAAATCACAAGCAAGCCAGGGAATGTAAGGAAGAGATGAATCACTGTTTCTTATAAGCACAAGAAATAATAGGGAGAACCAAACAAAGCTAGAAGGCAAGTTTGAAGCAGAAGGAAGTGCTCTTTTCTCACAACAACCTATTAAACCAGAACTCAATGCTATTAATAGCTTAAGAAACAAAATTATTGGACAAGTTTATGGAAAATGTCCCTAGCACTGCTGATTAAACATGATTGTCCAAATGCACATCATTGCTTGAAATAGTCCCTGAACTGCAGCTTAACAGAAGCTCAAGGTAGACCAGGGAAAGCCCCACATGCCTTCCCCTGTTTTCCATTCTTGTTCCTGATAGTATTACCCAATGGCTCTAGACAAAGGAAAATCCAGTCACTTTCTTTGGTGGTCTTTCAATATTTAACTTTCCATGGTGTTTCATCTTCCTATGAATTCCTGTAACATAATGGACTGGCTCGGTTGGCAGCACAATTCTGTATCTAATTAGATAACTCTGAATTATTTCAGTATCTTCTCAGCAAAGAGCTCAAAATGGAGTTTTTTTGAAATTTATTAACGTAGCTTAGTACCAAGGAAGTGAAGAATCATCACTGTTTATTGTGCAGGTGAGGAAGATAAGATGCAGGGCAGAATAGTTTTCTTGAAGTCACTGAATGGGCCACAGGCTGAGCAATGAAGAGATCATGCCATTGCTGACACCTTGTTGGGTGAATTGTCCCCAGCCTGGAGAGAGTGGGAGCCACTCCCAAGGCTCACCCTCTGGTCACATAGATATTCTGATTGTTCTGTAATAGTACGCATTTGTGACAGGTGGTAATATGGCTGCTCTTCTAATAAATAATCAGTTCTTAAGGTAAAATTATACCTGCAAGCAGACAAAGAGCTAAGCTAGTACTTCACTAAAATCCAGATGTTTGTACTGCAGGGAAGCTAAAGTGTATAAGGTAAGCATTTTGATATTTTCCTCCAGCAGAACTGAACAAGGATGGAAAACAGTAGGACTGTATTTAAATAAGCCAAATACAGCAGGAGCTGATAGAATAAGATATTGCCTCTTGGGTTTTTGAAAAGCCCCAGGAATGTAAGAAGGAGTTTAGCACAATATGGAATTGCATTGCTTAATGGTGTGCCAAAGGATACCCAAGATAGCAGGGACAGAAAGCAAGCCAAGGAGAAACCAGAAAAACTTTTTGCATGCTTATGTATTTTGACTCTGACTGTGGAGCCCTGAAATTGGCCACACATACATCTTGACACCCTGCTGTATCCCAGATATTTCCCTCCCGGCAAGTACTGGCAGCTACAGGTACAGCTGTGGGACACCAGTGTTGCCCACTGAGGGAGCTCAGTGTCAGCAGAAGCACCAGTGCTTTCCAGTGTCCAGCCAGAGCAGGTTAAACAAAGCCTTCCAAAGTCACCAAAATGTTCTTTAACTTTTTCAGTTGCTTCGGATGAATTCTTAATCTTCCCTCCTCTGCCCCCTCACCAAAAACCTCAAAATTTGAATGTTTGGGTGCAAAAAGCCTCTGAGGTGCTGCAGTTCATGCTGGTATTTAAGCACTGGCACAGTGATGCCAAATTGAATTGTGCAGAGCCTGGAAGGGAAAGAGATGATCTCTTGCTGAGGGTTAGCAGACAACAGCAGGAACTGGGATTTGTTGGACATTGCAAACTTCCTTTCTGCCTTTTGAGGAGGCACTTCAGTTGCATTATCAAAGAGCCCAAAATACAGTTTTAATAATAAATACATTTTCCCTTTATCTTATTTGAAGTATAGACCGGTGAGTCCATAGAAACTCAAGTCTTCACAACATTCTTATTATTATACCAGAGAAAGCAGCTTCAAAGGATTTCTATTGCAGAGGTAAACTGAGACATTTCATTATTTTATCTCAATGTGTGTTTTAAAGACAGGTGCTGTCATATATTATATATATATAATTAGATCCTCCTCTTTTGTATTGGCAATTGTGCACCCAAAAGGCCTCCTCACTGCCTCCACTTTCAGAGGCTGTGTGTCCCACTGCTGGATTGTGGCTCCAGAGCAGGGAGCAGCACACATCAGGCCATTACTGGGCCAGTGCCTGGCTCTGGGTACCGGAGGGAAATGAATGATGTGACAGCAAATATTCCCCCTGAGCAGAGAGCTCCAGTGCTAATGCACTGGGCTGCTGAAAGCACTCCCAACCAATCCAGCTGAAACAGTTTTCTGAAATCAGAGTAGCTATCCACCTGCACAGCTCTCTGCCTGTTTGCACTCTGCTTAGCTTAGTTTTGTCAACTCTGCTGTTACCTCTAACTTTTCAGGACCAACACTAAAACTACTTTGTAAGGATTTGAGCAGGTCTAAGAAACAAAGAGAAAGCAATCCAAAAGACTGTCTGCCAGTCACACAATGGAAAGCCATCCTGATTCTGATGGAGAAGGGAAAGGGGATCGTTTTCTCTCCCCTAACAGGATGAACTAACTTCACCCCTTTACTAATGCCCACCTAACTTCAGAACCAGCACATTTGTGTAAGGGACAAGCTCATGTAGGAAATCCTGAAGGAATGCACATCACAAATATTTCTCAACAGAAAAGATGGACAAGTTACTAGGCCTGAGCTCCAGCTACACCAGTCTGTGTATCAGAAAAAACCCATGGTTTTGCTGCAGACACCTACACATAACCAAAGCCATCTTCCCCAGGTGTCAGTGAACACCAGCTGGTGTGCTGGATGCTCCAGCAATCTGCTGTCTGCACACAACAGCCAGTACATAAAACCAGAAAACCACTGGAATCAAGCAGTATGGCCTTGTGTCTTGGGAAACAAACTCCACACAAAGCTGCTCAGTGGGGTGAAGAACACAAAATTGCACAAGGCTCATCTGTCTTCTACCAGAGGTTAACACCTTTACACTTTTGCAAGGGATAGTTTCAAACTAGGCAACGTCACAACCATGTCCAGAAACACCTCAGCAGGGCTCCCTTACTCATCACAAAAGCAGACCTCTGTATCTGATTTGTGGCTCAAGCTGTGGAAGTGCTGGCAGCTCTCCTGGAATACATCATGCACGTCACATGGTGACTGGGACGTGACAAAAACTCACCTTGAACCAGCACAGACCTGGGGAGGATGAATACACAGGCATACACAGGGATGAGCACTCCCCACTCCAGGCACTGTTTGAATCACAGTTCAAACAAATTTGTCCCTTTCATTGCTTTATGGGGCTGTCACATTTCAAGAATCCTGCCGTGCTTGGCTCATCCTGGCACTGCTTTTTAAAGCACTGTCACCTGCCTGTGTTATTCTGTAGGTCCCTGTACAGTGGGTTCCCTAAGTACAGCCTGAACTTTAAAGACCAGTTAAATCCAATGAAAGTCCATGGATTTAAACAATGTGCTTATAGTTCAGGGTATTCCTGAGTGCCTGTCTGAATGGGGAGCTCTAAGTAGATTTAGTCATTCAAAGAAAATGTGGGGTTGCTTAGTGCTAATAATTAGCTGCTGACTCCTGAATCTATATTTTGAGCAGTAATTCTGGTTCTAGGGTAACACTCAAACAGCTTTGCTAGAAAAGGCTCCTTGACTCCCAAAGAATTACAGCATTCACACTAATTGCAACACTTGTGTCACATCACCTCAAACTTAAGCTTGTCATTGTAAATAAATCCATTTCTGATTTTAGTCATTTGTCTTACATTAAGTCTTACTAGGAAGGCCACTTCAGCTATACACAATCCTTATAAAATTACAGTCCTTAGCCTGGGATATTGATAACAACTCAGATCACCAAAATGCAGGTTCACATTTCCATACAAGGGAGTCTTTTGTTTCCCTCTGGACACAGGAGGACAGAAACCAACTGTTTCACTTTTGCTGAAACTGAAATAAATTAAACAGACTTTAACTAGCTCTGATTAGGACTAAAGCTCTGAGTAAAAATGGAAAAAAATCCAGCATTTTTTATTGGCAACACACCATTCTACTTGTTCAGTTTGACCAGGGCAGATTGGTACTACAGACCTCACCAAACTCACTGTCATTTCCTTCGGCTGGCTCCAGGATTTCATTTTAAATAAACAGAGATCTCTAACCCAGTAACCTAAAGCTAAGTTACCCCTGAATGCAATGGCTTTATTTGCATGAGGTGAATCAGTCTCCAAATATCTGATGCTATTTGCAGTCTATTTGAATCCTTCCAGAATTCCAAGAGCCTCAAAGAGAAGTTCCTATTGACCCAAAATACAAAATAGGCAATCTGGATCTGAAAAAACCCTGTTCATTTGTGAAGTGCTCCTTTCCAGCCTCCTCCACATCTAAAGAAACAAATTTGGATAAACTTTGTCTCTCAGTAAATGAGCCCATACCCACAGAAAAGGAAAATTTGGATCATTTAGACCTTTAAAGAACAAAGTGACATCTCTGACAACTCACATAAAAATGTTTTGCTCTGGCTTTGACTCTGAACTCAGAGGCTCACAAAGCAGGAGACCTTGCATGACACAAACAAAACAAACTCTGCAGCCTTGCAAGATGCCTGCTCCTTGTCTTATTTAAGAATTATGTGCTTGTTGAGTGCAAAAAGGACTTAAAAAAGGACCTCAGCTCTTCAAATATCTAAAGTGGAAGGGAAAAGATCAAGCTTACTATTCTAGTCAGAACCAAGGGCTTTGGTAGGGTACATGCTCTGCAATTGAATTTTCCAATGCAAGCTCACAAACTTTTTTTAGCTGGAAGATTTTTCTAAAAGCTGCTACATATGAGGAAGTCACAGAGAAGTGCACATCAGCAGTGCAGTGATCTTATTATTAAAGTACTTATCTGGGAATGTGGAGGTTTCATTGCATTCCTATTATACTCATCTTGTGGAATTTTGGGGAAGTTACTAAAATCTCCGTCTTATCTGACTTTCTGAAAAGAGAATTTATCCAGTTTTGGCTGTCTTTCTTTTAAATTGCAGGCTCTTTTTTTTTTCTTTCTTTCCCCTGTATATTTTCACCTCCTAACATGGAAAGCCCCATTCTTTTTCTTTGTTTCCTCTCACCAGCAATGAAAATTCCATGAAATGACAGAGCTCTCAGTTAGAAGGTAGAAAAGGAGAGGGGTCAACTCTTAACATTTCCAACACAATATGAAAGGATTACTGAATAAAATTAGGACACATTAGCTTAAGACAAGCAAACCACAGTTTTTTGTAACAGAGTTGTAGTTCAGGAGTGGAGCTCTGCCACAGGGTGCCAAAATGTTATAAATTTATATGTGTTCAAAAAGAGAAAAGCTCCCACAACTTAAACAACTGAAAGAAAATGCCACATCAGCCAATTATGGATAGAAGGTCCGCTTGTGGCTCCAAAAGTCTCCCAGTTACAAGGCACAGTAAGCTGGATCCTATACATGAGGTGTAATTGTCCCTGCTGTTGGATTTTCTTCCTTGTCCTTTGCTCTTTTCCTTACACTGATGCCACTGGTCAATGCAGACTGCTCATCAGATCAGCCAGACCTTTGACACAATCCAGTTCCACCATTTCTGTGCCTGTGATAGCCCCTTCTCAGTCACAGAATTGAACGAACAAAGGTTATGAAATCCTCAGGGTTTATTTTAGTGTGGCTCTCCTAACATGCAAGCTCTGTAAAACATGCCACTTCTCAAATCACAGTGTAATACAATTTATGACAGCACCCTATTTGTAAGAGGAGTTTCAAGAGGATGGTTTTAGCCTACTTCAGTCACCCACACAGAGTCCACCAACGTTGTTGAGTACATTTATCTACTGCCTTTATCTACTTACATTTATCAGTATGCTGAATCCTGAACAACCATTACAAGCTGCACTGAAATCAGACATCTAGCATGATCTGTATCAATTAAACAAAAAACAAATAGCAGAGCAGCAAATTGTATATGGCTCAGCTTAATACTTTCCAGAAGAGGATGAACCTTGGGGCCTCCCTGCCCCAGCAACCAAAGCCTGCTGCCATGGAAATAACCTGTAAGCCAGCCAGGCCTTGCTCAGTGGCCCTGGGGATGGTAAAGATATCTCTGAATCCCAGGGGTTTGAAGTGGCTTGTTTACAGCATAGCTTGGAGTTATACAACCGCAAGGCAGGTGCTGTTCCCAGCAAATTTTCACTGGAGAGGTCTTGGTCACTGAATGATCCCAAATTCTGCCATCATGGCAACCTTTGCAAGAGCCAAGGCTCTGTGTGCCAGGTTGCTTCCAAGGTTCAGCCCCAGGGAAAATGAAGGCTAGAGAGGTAATTTTGGCATTCTTTCCTGGCTACATCCACTGTAAGACGGAGGAGCAGCTATTTCCAGCACTTTTGCAGCTGCAATTCAAGGGAAAACAGGAGCCAGTATATGCAGTGAGGGACTGCAGGGTGCTGAGAGCCTCTTGTATATGTTCTGTAAGGACTGTGTTCACTCTAATCCCATCTGAAGAACATGTTGGAGCAGGGGAAGTTGATTATAAAGGCTCATTGCACAACTTTGCTTTGGCTGAGGTGCACTGCAGAGTCACTGCTCCTCACTTTGCCAAGTTTGCCTTCACTGTGCCAAGTGCAAGAGTTTATCTTAGAACAGCCACCCCAAAAGGAAAAGAGCCACACCTTTCCCTTCCAGTCTGCATGCTAGAGCAGGCTTAGATCAGTTTCTAAAGGCATTCTCACAGGAGGTCACTCAGCAGGCAGGCAGCAACCCTAAGGGCAGCACTTGAAAGGCTCAGCAGCAAGAGAGGCTTTGTGCACATCTAAACACTGCAGAAGTCAGAAGCACCACTTGGCTGTTCAAACCAACTCATCCCCACCTGCATCCCATGACTGCATGTCTAGGGTAAGAGGGAGGGTAGGGAGGGGAGACATTCTCTGGGAACACCTGGTTCACAGGCTGAAATGAATAATAGCACCTTTAGGCCGGTTTGAACACTGGGGACAAGTGCCTCAATAGACCTGCTGGACAGCTTAAATCCAGGAATGAACGCTCCAGTGTGAGGGGAGAAACACCAAAGGAGGCTGTTCAGAGGCTGTGGAACCTCTGCCCTCAGAGATATTCAACAGTGGACAGGACAAGGCCCTGAGCAACCTGATCTAACTTTGAAGGTGGCCCTACTCCAAGTAGGAGGTGGAAGTACATCCCTCTACAGGTCCCTTTAAATCTCAGTTTCTCTATGATTCTAAAGTCTGAAGCAAAAAAAAAGCCATCACAATACTGAGATGGTTTATCAGGCAAGGTAATGCTGCTCTGGCTACTCAGGAGCATGAAGCACTCAACCAATGTCAGAGGGAAATCACATTCTGTAACTTCTTGGGGGATGTTAAACTGACTTAAAACATTAGATTTCCCTTCTCTCACAAAGACACTATCCCAGCACAACTCATGATACAAGATGCCACATTTGGTTCTGCTGGTGCTAGCAACTCTCACTCTCCCCTCACTCATCCTAAAGAGGAAAGGGAGAAAGGCAAGCCCTTCATCACCCCATCTTTGGCAGTACCTGAGTATGACAGGCCCGCAGTAGGAAGGGTGTATTTTGGTGCACATGTCCTCCAGCTGCAGCCTCTCCCCGGGGCTGATGTCGTAGCTGTGCTTGGGGTAGCTGACCAGCCAGCCGTAGTCCACGCCGCTCTTCATGCGCCGGTACTCGTTCTCGCGCTCGCGCTGCTGCTTCTCGGCCTGCTTCATCTGCCAGCTCAGCTCCATCATCAGCGTCTCCACCACCATCTCCGTGGGGCTCCTCTGGGAAATGCGGTTTGGGGGCTCGTTCCACCTGAACCAGGATGCCAGGGACATCGTGCTCCGTGTGTCTCTGCTGGGAGTGGGGTGAGGGTGGAGAGGGAGAGAAAAAGAACAGTGCCATCATCAGCACACCTCAGCAGAGAGCACTTTCCCCCTCACCCCTTCAGTCTGCTTTTAAAATTGCTGCTGGATAACCACTTGGAAATAATTGGTGCTGGGCACCTTGGTGTGGCAACCCAGGAAATTCCTCTGGCTGCCCGGGAGTGTAGCAGGCCCAGGGCCTGCAAAGGCCCCGTGGAGAGCAGAGGCCTAAAGGTAGGAAATGCCAAGTCATGGTGTGGCGGGGTCTCTGCTGGTCAGAGTGACCCCAAGATGCATTAGAAAGTCTCTTTTCCCAGCCCAGCCGTCGAAGGAGGAGTCAGAGCTCTTCATTTCTCGGTCTCAAGGTTGTTTACTGTTTCGTATCTATAAAAAATTTTCTCCTGCCCTGCTGAGGTCTGCTCAGCAGGACAGTCCAGGCACTCTGCCTGCCCCCAGGGCGGTGTTATGTCCTTGCACTAAAAACCGCGTATACAATGTTTACAATTACTTTCCAATACCTATCACCTATGTTAGACAGTGAGCTTCTACTCTAGACCATCACAGCAGAAGATGGAGGCCAAGAAGAAAAAGGAGAAAGGCTGGACACATCCAGTTCCTTCCATCTTGCCCCCTGAACTCCCATACCAAAACCCCTAAAATCTACTTTTCCACCCCGTGACAACTTCACTATCATTCTACTTGAACTGTTGTGGCTTGCTGATCTTCATACAAGGTTGGTAACTTGCTCCACAGGTCATAATCAAAACCACAGGTGTTTTGGGCTCTGTGCCAGGGTCTCTGAGCCCCCTGGCAGGGGTCTTGGCTGCTCAGGACAGCCAGAGGGATGTCCTGGGTCCTGGCAATGGTGAATAGCTAGAAGCCCCTGTCTTCTACCTTCAAACTCCTGCTTATCTCTCTGTAGCCCCATAGGTCACTCTCCTTTAACCCCTGCTATTGGACAATTTCTGATCCCCCTGTATCCTATATAATGAGCTGGTTTAGCCCATTCTGGTTAGAAAAGCTGTCACTGGAACCTTCACAGAACGCTGTGGAACGCCAGAACGGCCTTCTTGTCTCTCTGCATCTGCCTTCCTGTGTGTCTTAGCAAGCTAAGGGCTGGAATCACAAAGAGCTGATCCCTTAATCTTGCTAGGGTTGCCAGAGGCTGAGAACTGCTTTGGTTCTCGGGCAGTCTGTCCCGCAAGAGGACTGAGCCATCCAGCCCGTGCAGCCTGCTCAGGGCCAAATCTGCACCCAGCAAGGGGCAGAATTACTGGAGGGCTCCAGCCCCTGCCCAGGAAGGTGGGGTCTCAGAGAGCTTGGCACAGAGCCTAAGACCTCTGTGCCTCTGATCTTGACCCATGGAAAAAAATTACCAACCTTTATATGAAGAATTACAAGTCAAAAAAGTATAAGTAGAATAATAGTTTGTCATGAGGTCAAAAATAGATTTTTGAGGTTTTTAGACTGGGGGCTCAGGGTCCCAAGATGGAGGAATTTGGGCTTGCCTTGTCCTTTTTCCTTCTTCTTCCTAGCCTCCATCTTCTGGGTGATGTTGGCACTTTTAGATTGGTTTAGAGTAGAAGCTCACTGTCTAACATAGGTTATAGGTATTGAGAAGTTATGGTAAATAATGTACACATAGTTTTTAGCATAATAAAGATAACGCTGCCCCAAAAACAGGCAGTGTGCCTCAACTCTACCTGCTAGACAGAACTGTGGTGGGGCGGAGAAAGAAATTTATAGATTAGAAACAATAAACAACTTTGAGAACGAGAACAGAAGAGCTCTGACTCCTTCAATGGCTGGGCAGGGAAAAGAAGTCTCTTTTCTAACACACCTCGGGGTCACTGTGACCAGCAGAGGTTCTGAGGCATTGAGAAATCTCACCTGCAGCAGCCAGCTCGCTCAGAGGATGAGACAGAGGGTGAAGAGGCACCCTCACTTCCTCTCAGCATGTCATTGAAATGAGTCACAGCCCTGCCACCTGAGGCCAGGTTACAAGGATGCCTTGCTTCCTGCAGGCTGGGGAAGTGTTCTCCTGCCCACACACAGGGCTTGGGCTTGCCTGGCTGAACCCTCATGGGAGGGCACACCCTTGCAGCAACCCCACCTGTAAAAACTCAGTGCACTGAGTCAAAGGATGGCTGCGAGCTACATTCTAGCCAGGAGATCCTTGGAGATCTCCTCTGTGACCTGCTGCAGTGGGCTGAAGCTGATGCCCACCAAGCGCCCACCAAAGCTGCTCTATCACCCCCTTCCCCAGCTGGACAGGAGAGAGAGAATGCATTAAATGTATCTCATGGTTTGAGAGAAGGACAGAGACATCACTCAGCAATTACTGTCAGGCACAAAACATACTCATCGTGGGTATATTAGTTTATTACTCATCAAATCACAGTTAGATAATGAGAAATAAAACCAAATCTTAAAACACCTTCCCCCACTCTTCTCTTCTTCCTAGGCTCTGCTTTACTCCCAAAATCTCTACCTCCCACCCACCCAGCAGTACAGAGGGATAGGGAATGGGGGCTGTGGTCAGTTCACTACACTGCAGCTGTTTTTGCAGCTTCTTCCTCCTCAAGGGGAGGACTCCTCACCTCCTTCCTTTGCTCCAGCGTGGGGTCTCTCCCATGTGGGACAGACCTCCATGAACTTTTCCAGTGTCAGTCGTTCCCATGGGCTGCAGTTCCTCATGAACTGCTCCAGCCTGGGTCTCTCACAGGGAGTGCAGTCCTTGAGGAACAGGCTGCCCTGTGTGGATTCCTTGTGGTGTCACCAGTCCTGCCACCAAACCTGCTCCAGCTTGGGCTCCTCTCTCCAGGAGGTCCTGCAAGGGGCCTCTTCCATTGTGATCTTCTCGTGGGGTCCCAACCTCTTTTGGACATGGATGTAGGTGGATCTCTGCATCCCCTTGAACCTCCATGGGCTGCAGGGCACAGATGCCTCACCATGGGCTGCAGGGGGATCTCTGCTCCACTGTCTGAGGCACCTCCTGCCCCTCCTTCCCCGCTGACCTTGCAGTATTTAGAGCTGCTGCTCTCCCATAGCCTCCCTTCTGTCTCCCTTTTGTTTTTCCCCCTTCCCTGCTATCCCAGAGGTGCTGCCAGCTGGACTGAAGGGCTCAGCCTTGACCAGCAGTGGGTCCTTGCTGGAGCCATCTGCCATTTGCTTTGTCAGGCACGGGGGAAGTTTCTGGCAGTGTCCCACAGGAGCCTCTGCCATAGCCCCCATCCCTTGCCACACAAACCAAACACACCTGGGTAGGTTTGCTGCTCCTGCTGCTGTAACACCAGCAGCAGAGCTCACCCTGCCTGGGCAGCACTCACAGGAGCCTGAGCTACAGGGCCAGACAGAGCTTTAACCATTATTTAGCAAATGTGTTGCTGCATGCTGCAGAGGCTACACCACCATCTACAAGTCCAATTATTTGCTTTGCTGCAGGAGCACTCCTTCAGCAGCCCCTCCAGTGCCAAGGGAACTGAGGCTGCTCTGAGAGGGAAGCAGAAGCATACCAAGGTTTAAACTGTTATTACTTCTAAGTGAGAGGTTTCTGCTGCTGGGAGTTACCCAGCACTTAGCAGACAGAACAAACTGCATCAATCAGCTCAGAAAAAGATGGAATTAACTCCCCACCCAGCCAATCCCTTCATGTTGTCCCTTCAGGAGGACAATGCATGGAACAAAGTTATTACCTATTGTACTTGTATTTAAACACAATGGACTCCAAAACAGGCACTGGGGAGCTGAAGAGGAGAAAAACAGCATCTGTTTCTTCACACAGAGCACTTACGTGCCTTGTTGCTCCCTCCCATTAGCCCCTGGGGACAGGGGTGGCACAAATAAGGATTGCAGCTGGGATTACAGAGAGGCTCCTCTGGCAGCAGCCCAAGCAGGACATGGCGTCAAAAGTTAACATGAGGGCAAGGGATTAAAGAGTCTGCTTCTGCAGGCCTGAGCAAATCCTCACTGCTGGGACACAGACAGGCATGAAGTGGTGGGGAAAAATATGCTTTTCATTTAAGCTTCCACCTTTAGTGACAATAAAAACCACCAAAAGCTCATAACTACACAGTACTCCCAGCACAGCTGAGAGCCACGAGTTCCCAGACTCCCTGGATGAGAAGAGAGCCACAGCATTCTGCCAGGACTGCAAGAAAAAGATGCTTCCATGCATCCTACAGTAGCCTGTTCACTTTCCAAAGTCCTCATACTATGTAAATAAATCACACCATTAAAGGAAAATGCTCCAAAAACCTGGATAGTCTGCAGAGTGTCCCACATCTGAAATTATTCCAGGCTCTAATGCTTAGACTTTTCTAGAAGCAGGAAGTTTTCCAGAGTGCATCAAAGGACTAGTTTCTCTAGTCCTATACCCCACCTCTCCCAGCAAGCAATTCCAGTTTCTTCAGAAGGCAGGCACAAAAGGGCTGAAATCTTCCACAGGTCACAGATGCAGCCGGCTCAGAGCGTGAGGCACAGGTCTCCCATCCCTGCAAACAGGGGCACCGGGATGTGGGGGGATAGAATGTGAGGAAATAAAGGTAGTGCAGGAGGTAATCTCACCCCTGAGGAGCTGCAGCTGCACAAATTGCCAGAGGTTAGGAACAGGCCTGCCCTTAACAGGCCACAGCTGTAACCAAGAAGAAGAAGAGTGCTATAGAAGAGTGGGTTAGCTGGGTAAGGAGAGATGGAGTTTGCTGGCTGTGCTGTGAAGAAGTCAGTGCTGTGAGGAGAAATCACCCAGAAGGTAGAGGAGCTCTGCAATAAGGTGACACCAGCTGGGCTGGGTTGCAGTGCCTGTACAGCAGAGATGGCTGCAGTGGCTGCCCTGCAGCATCAGCTGTGGCTCTCCTGGGGACAGCAGCCACAGCCAGCAGCTGCTGCAGGTACTGCTGCCCCTGCCCCATCCCTGTGCTCTGGAGGAGGAGCAGCCAGTGCTTCCCTCTGTGTGCATGGCCAGGGTGAGTGCCTCCAGCCACAGCTCCCACA